GGGGAAAGCAAATGGAATATGTGTTCCTATTTCAAAGGGAATAGGGAAGTCTGACAAAAACTACAGAGGCACCAGATAGATCACACCTAGAAAACTGAACAACTATGGTCCTCTTATCTAATGGGAGATATACTTTCATTGAAGGCAGTCCAGAGAAGGTTCATTAGGTTGACCCAAGCGATGTAAGGATTTTCTAATGAGGAGACGTTGAGTAGGTTGGACCTATACTTGGAGTTCAAGGGAATGAGAAGAGACCTTATTCCAACATATAGATTCTTTGCAGACTTGACAGGGTAAATGCCAAGAGGTTATTTCTAATGTTACACTCTCCTACAATGAGAGGACATAATCACAGAGTAAGGGGTCACCCAATTAGGATAAGATATGGAAGAGGAATTTCTCTCAGCAGGTAATGAATCTGGAATTCTTGACCACAGAGGCTATTAGAGACAGTATTGTTAAGTACATTCAAGGCTGGAATAGACAAATTTTAATCAGTAAGGGAATCAAGGGTTATGGAGATAAAGGTAGGAAAGTGGAGTTGAGGACTATCAGGTCAGCCATGGTTTCACTGGGTGGTGCAGTAGATTCTATAGGCCAAATGGTTTGCTTCTGCTCCTATGTCTTAACAGTTGTAACTTTTTCTTTGCATTCGAATCCTTTAATAGATAACATTCACCTAACTATTTAAATTATAGCTTTTAATGAGTTCTGTACATGTCCATTTACTGTTCCAGAGTTCTAGGCTTTTACTATTTAGACATTATCTTAAATCTATCTTTTTAAAATCCAAAACCTTAGGAAAGACAACAGGCTATATCGCAAAGAGATAGTAGGAACGGCTGATGCCGAAGCCTGAGATAACAAAAGGTATGGAGCTGCAGGAACACAGCAGGCCAGACAGCATCAGAGGCTATCTCACGAAGCTCATCTCTACCTAGGAGATAGCATTTCAAGTAAACTTACCTTTTATCACAACATTCTTTTGTATTTAAAAAAAATGTTGTAGAGCACTATTTCTATGCAGCAATGTAATGACAACAACTTAGAACTCAATTCACAGAATACTGCCAGCAGGAAGTAACTTTTCAAATCTAGTTAGGGATAGAAGTGGATTTGACAAAAAGTTGCTGCTTGGGTGCTCAGACAGTTGTTATAACATAAGCATCAATTCATTCTGCTCTCCTGCCAAGGAACACACAAAGGGCCAGGATTCTTGGGAGCTTGCTGCACCAGAAGTAGTTGATACAATATCAGGCTTTTATCTTCTTGACCAGTCTCCCATGTACCACATTGTCAGAAGCCCTACCAAAGTCCATGTCGGCTGCAACAACTGCACTTCCATGTACAAACTTGGTCATCTCCTTGACACAACTCAGACATGATCTCCAACTGACACAATTATGCTGATGTCCTTTACTGATACTTGCCTCTCCAAGTGAAGATTAATTCTGTCCCTCAGATTTTTGCCCTTAAATTACCCGAACACTGATTCATTCCGAGTTCCCTGGCTTATCCCTGCCACCCTTCATGAATCATGGCACATTAGCTGTCTTCCAGACCTCTGGCACCTCTCCTGTGGCCAGGGAGGAATTTTAAAAAAGAATGACAGTCCCTTGCATTCTCCTCCACTACTTCCCACAGCAGCCTGGACTGCAGCTCATCTGAGTTTGAGAATTTGTCTGACTTTTACTCCACCAGAACCATTATACTTCATCCTTCTTGACTGCAATTTGTTCAGTATATTACAGTCCTTCTCAGATTTATATACTTACAGCATCCTTCTTTATTGCTAAAACATGTACAAAGTACTCAATTGGAACCTCACCCATGTCTTCCAGCTCCAGTTTGCCACTTAGGCTTTTTGGGGACCATTCCCTAGTTATCCTTTTGCACCCTAATACACTTATAAAATGCCTTTACATTTTTTAGTTGAAGCATTTTTTTTTACATGCCACTTCACTTTCTTAAATTTCTTTTCTAAGCATCCCCTTGTATTTTCTTCATGCCTTTAGGGCTTCCTGCGCTCTGAGCAATCAGAATTTTCATCTAATCCTGCGTTTTCCTCAGGATCCAGGGTTCTTTGGACTTGTTGGTGCCACCCTTTTTCCAGGAACATTAGCTATCACTATTTCCTTCTTGGACAATGTCCACTGCTCTGATGTAGAGTATTTTCCACAACTAGTTGCTTCCAGTGCACTTTGGTCATATTGAAATCAGACCAATTCAGAACCTTTATTTCAGTGCATATTTGTCCTTGATTTTTAAAACTGGGGGTAAAAGCTGACCCAACGAGTTCATTAAGTTCCCAGCAAATCCCCCCTCCCCCCACCAAATTCCATTCCTACCTAGTGCTCAAAATCTCCTCCTGCCACCTGAACTATTCTTTCCTCCTCAAAAGGTGTCCCCACGACCGGCAGTAGGAAAAGGACAATGAATAACTGTAGGAAGAAATGAATTATGGTGACGTGGGGTGAATAAGACAGGAAGAAAAATATATTCTCCTAAGTATAGCACATGTTTCATTGTCATTGTCCTCCTCGCCCATCTACCAACTACAAGGACAGTAACAATGGCTTTGGTATCACACTCCAATTGGTCATCTAATCCTGCAACTACCTTTGGCAACTTAATCCTTTTGTGTCCCTCACTGCCGCGACTGTTTAGATCTGTTTATGTTCTCTTTTGTACTTCTGGGAGAAAGAGAAGGGATTTTCACTACCATAATCTTTATCATTCTGAATCACTTCTGCTTGGCATGTAATCAAATGGCTCACTTATGCAAAATTCAAACAGTTGTCCTAATGGTTACGCTAGCAAATAGGGGAACCCTACACCACTTCTGATTGTCTCTGTTTCAAGTTCTACAACTTGGCAATTCAATATGAACATGGAAAAAAAAAATGGTGATATCACAGAAAACGTGTAAAGTCAATTTGTTTGTTAAGACTCTCTTTAAATTGCTGTAAATTAGAAAAGTGCATTATTTTTTATTGAAGTAACTTACTTGAATTTAACAGAGAAACATGAGGGAGAGGGAAATTCAGGGCAAATATAATAAAGTAACACAAATAATCCGAAGTGGAGTAATTTTAACATGAGAAAAATATTTAAGAACAGGCAGTTGGATGATATGCAAGTGGGAAGTCACGAACCCTACCACAAAGATGTGCAGGAGGTGCTGCTCACTGCATAAACTTGAACGCTGGGTTTCAGAGTTCAAGCAGCAGTAGAGTCACTGTCAAATCTCAAGGCTTGGTTAACATGGGTAGCACGATCAGAGAAGTGGTGATACCACAGCTCAAGGGACTAGAATCAGAAAGACAGCCAGGCAATCCAAGAGAAAATGGACAAGTAGCGCAGAAAGCCCCTAGGGTCCCGCTCTCAAACTGCGTTTCCATTTAGTAAGCTTCCGAGGGTGTTCACACCTCAAAAGGAGTTCTGTCAGAGTCAGATTTGTGGCACCAGGAACAACTCAGCTGCATGGGGCGGGGGGTCCGGTGAAGGAAGAAAGAAAATAGGAAGAGCAATAGTAATGGTAGCTTTGTAGAGGAAGAGACAGGCATCTGTAGGGCCATTGATGCAACTCCAGGATGGTACAGGGCCAAGGATGTCACAGAACAGCTGCAGAATATTCTTCTGGACGAGGGTAAGCAGCCAGATTTTGTGTTTCCATCTTGATACCAATGGTTTAGATAGGATTTATGGAGAAGATAGAATACGAGAAAGCCGGACATCAACATTACTCACCTACATGTGGCATGGAGGGTAAAGAAATAGAAAAAGAATAAAGTAGATGAACGAGGATGAATAGATGATGCACAAAGGCAAGCTTTAGATTCCTAGGAAAGACAGCACCTGTACAAGCCAGACAGAGAATGGAATCAGAAATAGTAGGAACTGCAGATGCTGGAGAATCCGAGACAACAAGGTGCAGAGCTGGATGAACACAGCAGGCTAAGCAGCATCATAGGAGCAGAAAGGCTGACGTTTCGGGCCTAGACCCTTTTTAAAAAAAAATCTGAAATGGATGCAGAGTTTGATGTCAACACAAAACAGTAATCAGTGTGTTTGGGGAATAGGTTCAAACAGAACTGACAGCATTTCTACTGCAGCAAAGTAATTGTATCCACCAACAAACAAGACAGGTGTTTTCGAATAATAAGTACACCCAAGGGATCAATTGTGACAAGTGACAAATAACATACAAGTTTCACCAGTGCTTGAACATATTCCTCAACAAAATATTGAGATGTTGTTCCATACTAGATGCAACAGTAGTGAGCAACGGAAGGAGAAAAAAAATGATCGGAACAGTATGGACAGAAAATACTTAGCAGGCAAGGAGTGAGTGGAGTGAGAAACACAATGAACATCCACAGTATTTTGCTTTCATCTGAACAATATGGACCGAGGAACTAATTACACAGGGTACACATACAAAAATGACAATTAACATTAAATAATGCTCTTCTGACATCACACCACAGTTTGCAGAGTTGGTGCTAAGAAATAGAAGAATTGCATTTATATCACAGCTATTATGACCTCAGGATGTTCGAAACAATTTTCCAACTTCCACAAACAGCAATGTGATATAGACTGCAGAATAAATATAGCCTGGTCACCAGGATTAACTAACCTGTTCTTCTGAAGTGCCACGAGATCTTTTACATTCTAATGGCAGACCAGAGCTCAGTATGTTTCATCCCTAAAGATGACACTTATGACAGTGCAGTACTCCCTCAATACTTGGCTGAGATGATGACTTAATAAGTTTACAACTTTCTTACCCAGAGACAAGCATGCTATTAACAGAGTCAAGTTAAATCTGGTATACGTGACAAAATTGGAAAATTGCCACAAATGTTTTACGATATACACAGTTAAAGAGTTCAAAAGAGGATCTATAAAGGCTGCCAAGTGCAAAAATCATCAGCTCTAAATCAAGCTTTGAAATGTAAAACCGCTAATAACAAAATGTTGAAACCAGAAACCTGTTAAAGAAACAGCATGTATTTTTGTTCTGGTTACACCTCCGTGAATCAAATTGCTGAACAGTGCATAAGTGACTGGGTGATGCCACTGTGGTCTGCAGATTATAGTAAAGCTCTGCCATTCAAATATTTGTACAAAACATTATGTACACGATACTATCCATCATTTACTTATTTGCAACTTTTAGAAGGCAAGACTGGGAATAAAATATCAAAGAATGAAAGTGAGCCTGAAGCACTATAAAGCAAACTGATACAGAAAGTGTCCATGACATACAGCAGTGTACTTCCTGGACCAGAAAGAGACTCACTGAACATATACGTCATTTGCCATGTTGCTTTAAAAGCATGAATAACATCCAACTCCAATGAATAACTCTCCTTGACAAGAAAGTGAAAAAAAATCAGCACTTTTTAAAGTGACAGTTATGAACATGAGCTTGATGTCATGAAACATTCTAGTCAAAAATAAGATGTTTGTTAGAACAAAAAACACACAAACATATTTCATTTCTCTCATTACCAAATATATCACCAAAAGTTTTACATTTACTATGAGGAAGAAAGCAAATCTGGAAGTACATTTATATTGGATGCTCTTATGAAAGCTATATTTCTCTAAAATTTGTAACAACTTATAAATTCCCTATCTGTGGATTTAAGCTTATGCTTGAGATGTTATACAAGCATGAATAATCAAGAACTGTGATGTTTATACATCTAAAAATCTTGATCACACCTATTAGCTACAGTGTTTGCAAAGGGCATGGCTTACTAATTCAAACATCAGCCAGACTTGTTCAATAATAAAAGCACCAGCATTTTGTTAGAAAAAGGGTCTGCTTAGTTTGAAACAATTTCCATCAATATTACACTAAATTATTACTTCTGCCCTTAAATGTTTTATATTTGTTAAGATGGTTAACAAATACTGCAAATTCAGAACAATTAGTCAAATTGCACAGCAATGGTTGCGTAAGACACCAGGTTGATTGGGTGCTGTGCTCCATGCATAGCTTTCACGTGGAAACAGTCCTACTTGAGAAGCTTCTATAATTTTCAAAAGTGCATCATGCGACAAAGTGGTTCCCCAGTTAATTGAATTCCAGTGCAAGTACAACTTTCTCTTTCATTTCCCCGTACAGAGAGTCTCGTATGTTAACCCCATTCAACATTTACTGCAGTCTTCCAACCTCCAGGAGGTGGAGGATGTAGAGATGGAGGTAGCTCATGAACTGCTTGATATCCTGGAGGTAGCCAGTAAACAACAGATTCATCGTCAACCTCTTTTTCCATTTCTGAACCACTGTAGGAAACAAAAGAGGAATAAAATTCAATATTACATACCATGAAATAAAAAATAAACTGAAGAAAGAATATGAATGATGTTCTATCACAACATAACATTAACACTAAATACAATGGAACAAGTTGCTGGTTGGCTTATTTTTAGTCAAACATTATGTCTCCAATTTAAAAATTTCTAACACTGAAACTTGAAGAGAACATTAAAATTCACAAAAAAAAACAAAAACTGCTGGAGAAAGTAAGCAGGTCTGACAGAATCTGTGGAGAGAAAACAGAGTTAATGCTTCAAGTCCAGTGACCCTCTTCAGATGTTTAAGGAAACAGATCACAACAATTTATTTTTGAAGAGTGCAAGGTCTCCCAAAAGCTAAGCAGAAATTGGACGATTGTATGCTATTAAGCTCGGAGATCAGGCATGTCCCAATTTTGATTCCAGGGCTGACGTAAATGAATTAATCAACTGGTGTAGAAACAGAATAATATAATTTCATGTTCCCCAACTAGGAGCATTCAATTTAGTTATGGAACACTTTGACAATCTCTGCTGACCTGAAGCATTTACCAACCAATCATTTTTGAAGTGCAGTCAAATATTAAGCACCATGGGTTGAATGTTGGTTCGACAGAGTCCAGGCATATACTCTTCTAATGGGATTTTATTTCAATATGAACAATACAAAATTCTAGCCCCATGGCACAGCCAATTATTCCTCACTTATATTCACCTTTTCCCTAGTTCCATTTCATCTCAGGCATGTGTGCCAGAGTTTTTGACAGTAATAGTCAATGCTGTTATGTAAGAAAAGCCTAGGTAATTTGTCAAAACAAGTCCCACAAACAGCAGCATTATATTGACTACATAATCCAGTTTTGATGATATTGTTCACCAGGACACCTGGAGAACCCTGCATCACTTCAAAAGTGTCCTTAGAATCTTTCATGTTGGGCAGAGTGGGAAACAGTAGAGAGAGTATAGCTAATGGTGATTAAACTTAGAATGCTTATCCATCCAACCAAACAACTTTTAGCAGGAACCAAAGAGAAGCCTTCAAGGTTACTGCCCCAGTTGGCTTATTTAGCTGTTGGGTGGGCATGGGGTAGTGACTTGTCAAGAAACATATCCTAACCCATTATCAATTAACAACAAATTGAGGGCCTCATCCTGCCCAGGCAATTTTAACTCCAAGCAAGACAATAAAAAATTGCCTACTCAACTGGTAAACCAGTACAGGCCAGCTGTCTGTTTTGTTAAAGGTGGCAGAGGAAGAAATTTGCAAGACCATGTTTAAACAGACATGTGGCAGGGGATGGATGCCAAAAGACACAACTTCCAAGCACCTTTTCTCAATCACCAAACTGTACAAGCCAAACTACCTGGGAGCCCAGAGGGCAATATCCGCAAACATCTACATCCTCTGCACTGGCGCTTCCAAGTTCTGAGGCCTCTTGCCTCAGTTTGTTCTGGGACACCAATTCCAGCAGAAAGATAGCCAGCAGCTAATCAGCTACCCAATTGCGAGAAGATGCAGTGACCTTTCTTACCTCAGCAGGTCATGTGTTTCCATCTGGAAACCCTCCCGCTTGTGGACTTAATCTGAAAATGGGAAATTCCCAGCCTCGTAATCACATTAGAAATTCTCACTCTCAGATCCCTGGTTACCAACATTTGACTTTTTTGTGTATTCTAAAAATTTTCCAGAACCCTATATTTGCAGCTGATCCTCTCCCTTTCTCCTTGCATACTTGTAGAAGCTTTCATAATCTATTTTTAATTCCTTGCCAGGTTAGTCTCATTTTATTTTCTGTGTTTTAGCAATATTTTGGTTCTTAATTTCTCACAATCATCTTGGCAACTTGAAGAACCTCTTGATTCTTAATTTCTTTAGTTAGTCACAATGGATCACTTTTCCCACAGATATTTCACTTAATAGAATGTACACAGAAATTATTTATTTAAATACTTGCCATTGTTCATCTGTCATACTTTTTAATCCAATTCTTCATTCTACTATAGCCAACTGCCTTTATGCCTTTGTCATTGGCATTATTTAAATTTAATGTTCTAATTTCGGACTTAAACGTGTCACTCTCAAACTATTGTAAAATTCTATCATATGATCATCACTCTGCCCCAGAGATTCTTTACTACAAGACTACTAACTAATCTTGTCTCATTACAGAAAACAAGATCTAAAATTGCCTCTGTTCTAATTAGTTTCAAGATGTATAGTTGCAGGATACTATCTTGAATCCATTCTATGAGTTTGTCCTCTAAACTACTTTTGTTGATTAATTTGCCCAATCTGTATTGAGATTAAAGTTCCTTGTGTTTATTTCAATATTTTGGCAACTAGCTCATGTTATTTCTTGATTAATTCAATGGTTAACAGTGTAACGATCAATATCGGATGATAAATGACTTCCACCTTCCCTTTCTCTTTTAAAATATCCACCTACACTAATGATACTTCCTGCTCTTCAAGCCTTTCTCAGTCCTGTAGGTATTCCAGTTCACCTTATTTCAAGTTGCCAGTGGTGCAAGTACTGCACGGCTCACAGCAACAAAACTTCACTAGTACATAGAAAAAATTCAAACATCCTTGGAAATGATTCTGTATAGGAGTACCACGAAGGCTACTCACATGGTTCATTTCAAAAGTCAAGTGTCTTCTGCCAGCAGGACATTCCAGAGCACATGTTTTAAAATTCACTTGTGGGATGCGAGTGTCACTGGCTGGCCAGCATTTATTACCTGCCCCAGCTACCCTTGAGAAGTGGTGGTTAGCGGTCTTCTTGACTAACTGCAGTCCACATGCTTAAGGTTGATCCACAATGCCCTTAGGGAAGAATTCCAGGATTTTGACCCAGCAACACTAGGAAAATTGATATATTTCCAAGGCAGGATGGCAAGTGGCTTGGAGAAGAACTTACAGGTGGTGGTGTTCCCACGTATCTGCTGCCCTTGTCCTTCAAAATGAAAGTGCTGGTGGGTTTGAAAGGTGCTATCCACCTTTGATGAATTTTTGCAGCTCTGTCCCGAATGGTGACAAGCCTCTTGAATGTTATTAGAGCTGCACCCATCCAGGCAAGTGGGGAATCATTCGAGTTACTCACCATAGTATTCAGAGCTTCTGATCTACTCTTGTAGCCACTGTGTTTGTGTGGAGAGTCCAGTTGAGTTTCTGGTCAATGGTTACCCCCAGGATGTTGGTAGTGGAGGAATTCAGTTATGGTAACACTTGAATGTTAAGGGGTGGTGGTTAAATTTTCTCTTATTTAGTCTTTACCACTTCCTTGCACTGGTGACAAGATATATCAGCTGCAAACTGATTTAAAGTCTTGTTCATTTCTCTTCCAGGTGTCTGCTGGTTTTTATTATTTATATATTAAAAGCAATTACATAGGTGATAGCTTAACTTAACTTTCGCTGGGTTCATCAAAACGGTGGCATCACTTTTTGAAAAGGCGAAATGAGTATCTACTGGTTTAAAAACAGTTCATCCAAATGTTTATGTTGAGAACATCCATAGTCTGTCAGTTTAATAACTTCCCTTCCTATCAAAGCAATACACTAACAAGCATTAATACAGGGTGACACACAACTAGAATACAATGGTGTTATCCCTCTAACATATAGATGTGCAACTTCCCAGGTAAAAGACTAAAAATATTCAATAAAAAAGTTCCAAAAATATTCGCATACTGTATTATTTTGAATGCTGTGCAATGACCATGGTGCATCATTTACTTTGTTGAAGCATTCAATAAGTGTCCACATTTTAAAATCCGAAATGCACTGAGCCAAACCCCACTCCCAGACACTTCACCCAAAAGTGTAGTAAGAAAAACACTACAAGACAACATGATCAGCACCCCCAAGCCTCCCTCCAGAAATAATTCTTATATCAGCATAAAACTAATGATAATATGTGGCTGCTTAGGTTTGATATTTTCAATTAAAATTCTATGATTGTATATTCAGTATACTTATCTTTAATATAGCTGACATGCCATGCAATTTCTTTTTTTTAAAACTAAGACCTAACCATGCTTAAAACTTAAGCATAATGCATGGTGGCAAATTAACTCACTTTGAAACTGAATGCTGAAATAGATTTGTGTCTGTATTTCCCAACGCATCAACATATTTGAATTTAGCTGTCACTTAAAAGTAACAACTGAAAGCAACTGGGGAAAATTAAGTAACACTTCACAACTCAAAATTTGACAAATCAAGCCAAGTCATTCCTATGGGCCAGACCAGAAAATAACAAAGGGAGAAGCTCGGTAGCTGTATGCTTCTCTTTAGTCTTGGCTGGAGGTAGCACATGGCAGTTTGGCCCCAGGGAAGCTGAAAGCTGGAAATAAGTGTAACAAACAAATCTTTGGTTTTACTTGGAAGGAAAAGTAACAGTCATATGTTACCCATGTCCTAAACAGAATTCAGGGGAATTAACAAGATATTAAAGCAGAGTTGGCACAATATCCAATTTCTTTTTTGGTTGCAGAGAATAATAAGTAAAGAAGACAGAGTGAAAAACAATGAGAAGAGAGAAATGATGCAGCAATAAAGGGCAGAGTCAGAGAACAATGCAGGAAGAACTGCCTTGTGAATCACAGCGCAAGCAGAGGTAAGAGTAAATCTACTCGTAACTGTATCAGGATTCTTCAATTTACCAAATATAACATTGCACGTATAATAACATGCAGATTTTGTCTTTACACATCGCTCAGACCAATTGGTTGATTTGGTGGCTGGAGCTTGGTGCCAACTGAAAACATGGAGTACAATCCTTACTGGCAACAGCAGGTGAGGCAGAGTGGAGGACAGAAAAAAAAACCAAGGTAAAGGGGAGCTCAATAACAAAGTGAGCACAATTCAAGGGGTGGGGTGACAAACAAGGAGGTGGTAAGGTGGAGAATGAATGAGACCCTGACATACAAGGCTCTCAACTATTCACTGTATTTATTAACTGATTAGATGTCAAGATAGAAAAACACATATCTAAATTTGCTGATGACACAATGGTAGCTAATATAAGCAGCACAGATGGAAGCATAGCAAGGCATGGATGCCATAAGTGAGTGGGCAAAATGGAGGTAAATGGATTTCAATATAGACAAATATCAGGTCATCCACTTTAAACTTAAAATTGATAGAAAGTGTCATGTTCTACATGGTGAAAAGATAGAAAACATGGAGGCCCATGTGCACAGAACATTAAAAAGGTAAAGAATAGGTATAGAGAAGATTCAAAAAGGCGAACAAACGCTACTTTAGATCTAGAAGAAGGGAATACGAGGGGATACAAGTCATGCTTCAGCAATACAAAGTTCTGGTTAGATCTCACTGGAAGGACTATGAACAGCTCTACACACCATACATCAAGTCAGACGTACTGGCCTCAGAGAGCACACAGCATAGGTTCACCAGCAGGGTACTGGGATTGCACACATAAATTATGAGGAAAAATTATACCAACTAGGGTTCTATTCCCTGGAACCAAGACTAAGGAGAGATTTTATCAATTTTTTTTTTTTTTTTAAGACATTAAAAGGGAGAAATTGTTTCTGCCAGCTGGGGAGTCTAAGACTTGACGGCATGGTCTGAAAATTGGAGTCAGACTTTCGAATGATAATAGTAAACATGTTTCCACAAGGGTGGACAACATATTCCACAGTGCAGCTGCCATTACTTAACTGCAACAGCAATATCAAAATTACTGTGATTCAGGGTTGGGTCTCTTCCACAAACAGCAATTGATACTAAATCAATTTAAATTTAAAAATCAGAGATTAAACTACATTGTCAACCAAAAGCAAAGGAAAATAGGTAAAGATAGGTATGTACAGTTAAGTCACAGATCAACTGTAATCTCATTGAATGGCAAAACTGGATCAAGGAGCTGAATGATTTATTCTCCTTCTCATGTTCCAAAACATATTGAAAAGTGATTTTCCTCAGTTAATCACAGTAAATGTTGCTATAAAAATTATAATGTGTCAATTACAAGTCAAATACAAACCAGGTGTGGGTCAGCTGATGCTACTCTTGCCATTTGGGTTCAAAGATATTAGAAGGGATCTTGTGGTGCAGTGGTAGTATCCCTACCTAATTCCACCTGCTCCAGAGACGCATAATGACATTTCTGAATAGGGTGATTTGAAAACATCAAAGGTATTAGATTGGAGTTCTGTGCTAGCATTCGAGTTCCGACAAATTGGTTGCCGTGCTACTGGGCCATCAGAAATCTGGCATTTGATGTGGAAGAAAATTGAAGTCCCGTTAGCTGGTTTTCATAAATGCCATTAAATTATTCAGGAATCAAGGATTTCTCCAAATTCCTAGCTAATATTGCTCCCTCACCCAGTAGAAAAAGGTTCAATGGCCATTCCGTTTCATTCGTATGTTAATACCAGTTAGTTGCCTTAACTGACAACTGAAGATACTGCACTTCAAGGAAATTAAATGTGCGAGGTTCAATATAAAATTAAAAATGCATTCTTACATAATGCAAACCAATGGGTGCATATACCATGTGACATCTTATGACATTTCAATTTGTACATTTACAAATAAAAATACGTCAAATGAAGGTTACTTTTATCACATTAAAGACATACACATGAAGCTAAGCAAGCAAGATACCCAGGGAATTTGAAGTTTTATTCCCCCCAACATACAAAAGTCAATATCAATCTGTGATAGATGGGTTCTGTGAAACTAGAAGCATTACATTCTTCTTGGATAAAAATAGCCAAAGAAAAAGCCTCACTCATGTGCAACATGGTTCCACAAAAATAGTGACATGCATCTTAGGAATGCCCTTCACCTGGACAATTCACACACTGCATGAGGTCATCATGGCTGTGAAAAGGACAGGACTGAGTTTATAAAAAGAGCATATATTCTATCTGGCCTATAAATGTATTTGGTTAAGGATGAAAGAATAGAAAAAAAAATTCTCATTTTTCAGGGCTACAGGTTTTTGTTATTAAACACGTCAATTCCATAACCAAAATTGTTACAGGTACAAACTGTAAATAGTTTTTAAAGGAAGCTCTGTTTCCATAATTTTCCAATGTAAGAGTAATATTACTTGTTATTCTTTTACTTTTTTGTGCTTATTTATTACGATTGAACTTGTAGAAAATATTCTGACTAGCATATCATTTGTATTTATTGTAAACGCAAATTCCCCATTCATTATAAAGAAGTGGAAAAAAGAATCTTACAAGAACATCGTAAAATAAAAGTGTGTATAGCTTGTGGAGTTGTTTAAAGATAATTTGGAGAACACTTTTACAGGGACAGGATTAGAAGATATGACATTCAATGTCTATTCTCCACAGAGGCTGCAAAGTAATTTGCTGGAATACCTTTTCAAGGCCTTAAAATCCAATTACTAGCAAAATTAATCAGAAGCTAATTGTTGCCGAGAGGAATTTGTTCAAAAGCAGTTGCTGTAAATCCTGAACTCCAGGTTAGAACTAAACAGCAGCAGCTAGCTAGTATTTTTGCCCCTTTGGAAACAAAAAATTACTTGCGCATTGGCAATTGCCTACCTGGTGAGCTCCAAATTATTGCTGATCTGTGAACATGCTATTCAAGCCATTCAACCATATGGTACAACCATAAAACAACACTGACACAATACTGAATTTCACTTGTGATAAATATCAATTACCTGATGTTCGAATGGCTTTCTTTCCTTTTTGCTCTTTTTGACAACCATTCATTAATATCGGGTGCAGGTCTGTTATCATGTTCTACTTTGTTTTCTTCTGTTAAAAAAAAAAAAAATTACAAATAAAATTTCCAGCTACTAATGGAAAACTTTAAAAGTACATATTAAGAATTGCTAATGCATAGTTAGTGCATGAAAATGAACCATTTTCCTCATCCAATGCTTATTTTTAAAAATATAAACAATAATATTGTGCTGATGGGACAACTAATTGGGTGGCATGAGAGAAATAAGCACAATATTATTTCATTTTTGTACTTTCACTCAAACATATGCTGGCTTTTCTTTATTATATTGTAGCTCAATGAACTCCATAATTTAGATTCTCAGATAAATTTTCAAAATACTTTTTTCTGTCTTTCTAACTTTACTGCTGCTGCTTTCCTTTTTGTAATTAGTTCAGTTTCTTAGTGCCCCACTCATTCTTCACTACCCATGCCAAGTTAGTTAGTTAGATTGTAGATGTTGCTCCATTGATTTGCAAAGTTTCTAAGACATTCCCAGTAATTCTTTGTCACTATCAACATTTTAAGTAGACTGTATACACGGCATGTCCAATAACTGGAAAACAAGCAATTAACAAAGCAAAGAGAATACTGAAATAGATAGTGCAAGCTAGAGGAAGTAATATTTAAAGTATATAATGGTCTGGTCACACTACACCTTGACCACTGTACACTAACTCATCTTCAACATGCATCTCAGCAGGTAGCGAAATGCATAGCATGTGACTGATTAGAGAAAGGTGGGGAAAACTACTTTTTTCAGCCTTTCAAAGATAACTGGAAGTCCTTAAACAGGAATTTAAAGATGAATACAGAACAATATCCAAAATTAAACCACTCCAGTCAGACAATGGGCATAGGTTCAAACTAGCAAAAGTAAATTTCAGACAGATACTAGCAAGTTCTACTAGAACACAATGGTTTTCTGGATAGATTGGTTAAGGCAAACCACTTAAGAAACACCTAGATAACCTAATTGGTAGTGGGGTCTTGAGGTAAAATTTCAAAGCTCTTTCTGAATGGAAGGACTGAAGAAAGAGAAATGGGGTGCAATTCTTACAGTTAGCATCAAATGTTTTGGTTGGAGAGATTAGAGAAGCAGGCTTTGGTTTAGCCTCAAGTACACGGAGTGATGCAAGCGTAATGATGATTTGAAATACTTAATGCTATCAACAAAATGAAAGTGAATAACTGCTTACCTAGTCCCAAAACAAAATAAAGGGTGAAACTCTGAAGAGGAAAGGAGAATGACTGCCCCAATTATAAGTTTCAAAAACAATATTGACTATTTAGAATGGAACACTCAGGGACGTGACCTGAGCCAATAGCATCAGTATTTTTAACCAAGGCTCGTGCAGACATTTGAAGGGGAATTGTTGGGTAAAATCAATGGGCAAACTGTCAAATGTTCTGCAAAAAAATTTAAAGTGCAACCGAGCAGGCAAATGGAATCTTGTTTTGACAATTCATGCAAAAAGAGGATACTGAGAAAATGCTGCAGAGTTGCTACTGTTTGGATGAGATGTTAAACTGAGTCCCTGTCCACCTTCCAAGCAGCTGCAGGACTCCATGGCAATTTTCAACGAATAAAGATCTCTTCCAATGGACTGTTCAACTTTCTTTGCCTAAAGAATCCCAAAATTAGTTGATTACGTCATTCAAACTGCTATTTCTGCGATCTTGCTACTCACAAATTGGCTGTTATGTGTGTTAAAACAACCACTGAAGCAGCAACCCACTGGCTGTAAAGCATATGGAGACATTGTGGGAATGTGAGAAGAGTTCTTTCAAAAACAAAATCTCTAGAGTCAACCAGGTCTAAATGGCCTTTTCCAACCTGCATTTCCTTGTATTGAGATAGAAAAAGTGAAATGCTTTGCATGAATCACAGCTGTTCACTTGTGTACACACACACACAACAATGCCATCTGCTGGAAAAACGTAGCTTTTCCTTTAAATTGTTGTTGACTACAAGCCTATTCTCATAACGCAGACATTTCTACAGTTAAAAAAAGCTTCTTCTCTTCACTTGCTGTTTTTTACAGTGGATTAGCTAACATGCCAGCTCATTTTGAGGAAAAGCAGCAGCGGACAGCCCAAACTTTACTCTTCTCAATAAAGTCATCACACTTAGAATTCAAAAATAAAATCACGCTTGTTTAAAAATTTAACCTTAGAAAATACGGTCAAAATAAGAGGCAACCGAATAGAAATGTGCTTATACAACTGTGTAGGTCAAATTTTATATGTTTTACAAGCTCACTATGAAATTGCTGAAAGAGCTTTTTGCTTCTAGGCTTGCCAGCCCACAATTCTGAGACAATTAAAGTGAACTGGTAGGCAATTAAGAGCTGTGGAGCACAGGAATATATAGTGGTGTGTTGACATGGCTAATCGCAGTCACAATTATTTAAATTAAAAAAAAAACCAACTAAAATGTTTGAATCACCTTCACAAAAGCAAACAGTGAGCCTTGCAAGTGCAAAAACACAATTCAGGTTAGATGAACAACAAATAAATTTGGATGATACCATCACCAATGGCATCCAACCATGTACTGTACAATTGTCAATTTTCAAGTTGGATATTGATATCTGTGGGGAAAATCAGTCAGTCAAAAAACACAGTGGTTAAAAACAAAAAAAATTTCAGATGAGTAGAACTTCATACAAGCTGAATTGCAGGGGTAAGTAACCTCAAACAGGAATTAAAATAAATGAACTGTTCCACAGTATTTGAATCACCCAGAGACATATAATTTGTACTGAAAAATCATTCTAACTACACTCCAGGCAACAAACCAAACAAATTTTCAGGTAGAGTGTTAGCGTTAGGATTAATCAACCGATATATCAGTTGTTACAGTAACACCAATCTTGCTGTTCAGAGAATGAAAGCAATAACGACATCCAATTTTTCCTTAGACTCCATGGCATCATTAAAAAATGTTCTAATCAGATAAGACAGATAAATTACTCAAGTCCACGTGGATGAAATCAGATCAGTGGACTGTGGAACTGACATAGCAAAATTGATGCAGTGGTACTTAGTTAGCTGTTGATGAACAGCCTACCAATGCATATAAACATTTTTCTTGAACATAGGAACCCCATGTTAATATTTAGCAGCTTATACAATCACTTGAACTGAATCTTGTCTATATCCAACATTCATATGCATGTACTTTCCACAAAAATCTTCTCAAGATCAATTTCCTTCCCCAACTCAAGGGCATGGAAACTAATTAGAGTTACAGAGTCAGAGTTTAACACCCAGAAAGAAGTCCCTAAGCCCACTGTGTCCATGCTGGTCATCAGGCACTACCCACTTTAGTCCCACCCTCCAGCACTAGGTTCATAGTCTAGTATGCTACGGTCCTTCAAGTGTTCATCGGAAGGTTACTTAAATGTTGTAATGGTTCCCATCTCTACCATTCTTTCAAGCAGTGAGTTCCAGATACTCTCAAAACACTCAGTGAAAAACCTTTCCACCTTAAATCTATGCCCCCTGGTTATTGATCCCTCTCAAGGGGAACTCCTATCTACCATATCTATGCCCTCAATTTTGCATACCACAATCACATGCCTCCTCACACTTCTCTGCTCTCTAAAAATTAATCCCAATTTACCTAGTCTCTTCCCATAGCTGAAACATTCCAGCCCAGGCAACATCACGGTGAACTTTCACTGCACCCTTGATAACAGTCACATGCTTCCTATGGTATGGTGACCAGACTGAAGACCATACTACAGCTGTGGCACAACTAATGCAACTCCATCATAACATTCCCATTCTTACATTCAATGTCTTGACTAATAAAAGCAAGGATCACATACCTTCTTAACCATCTTGCCCACCAGTTGTGTTGCCTTCAAGAATCTGTGGACATGCACACCATATCCCTCTGATCTTTTGTAGTTCCTAAGGTCCTACCATTCATCACACCCTTGCCTGGTTAGTCCTCCCAAAGCGTACCAACTTAGACTTAAAGACCATCTGCTGTTGTTCTGTTCATCTGATCAATTTGCCCAAAAATCACCCGGTAGTCAAAGGATTTCCTCCTCATATTTACTGCACCATTTTTCATGCCATCTGTGAAGTTACTGATCAAACATCCTACATTCAAGTCTAGACCATTAAGGAACACTACAAAATAGCCACGGGCCTAAGTGCCAAACCCTGCAATATTCAACTAGTCACACGTTCAATCACAAAAATAAAAAAACACTTCCTCCACCACCAACCTTTGCCTCCTCCCACTAAGCCAATTTAAGATCCAATTTGCCAAAGTGCCCTGGATCCCATGGGCTCTCAACTTCTTGACCAGTCTCCCATGTGAAACCTTGTCAAAAGCCTCAAAGTCCATGTAGACTACAACCACTGCCCTACTCATCCATACATTCAGTCAACTCCTTGAAAAACCTGTCAAACAAGATCTCTTCCCTGGCAAAGCCTTGCTAACTATCCTGGATTAATCTGCCTAGAGTATTGGCAAAGATCTGTAGTTCGGGTCGTGGATGAGGTTGTTGACTTGCTCGCTAAGCTGGCTTATTTTTGTTCAGACGTTTCGTCACCATGCTGGGTGACATCATCAGTGGAGCCTCCGATGAAGCAATGTTATTCTACTCCGCTTGGAATTTATACTGTCCGGTCCGTTACGGTGAGTACTGTCATTTCCGGTTTTGATCTATGTGGGTGGAAATCATACTTCAATCAACAAATATAGAGAATTGTACCCCATATATAAACCCATACAGATCAAAACCGGAAATGACGGCACTCACCATAACGGACCGGACAGTATAAATTCCAAGCATAGTAGAATAACATTGCTTCAGCAGAGGCTCCACTGATGATGTCACCCAGCATGGTGACGAAACATCCCAGAACAAGCCAGCTTGGGAACAAGTCAACAACTTTAATCATTGCCTCTAAATGCAGATTAATTCTGTCCCGCAGGATTTTTTCCAATAGTTAGATTCACTGGTCTATAGTTCCCGGGTTAATCCTTACTATCCTTCTCAAATAACGAAAGAACGAACGAATGACATTACAAATGCACCACATAAGCTGCCCTCCAGTCCTCTAGCACTTATCCTGGGTCCAGTAAGGATTTGAAAATTAATGGCAGGGCCCTTTCAATTTCCATCCTTGTCTTCCATGGAGCCTAACACCATTACTGAGCTCTGGCCGAGATGCACAACAGCAGGATCTAGGGATTTAAACTTAGAAAAAAGGGAGGGTTGCAATGCTCACTGAGTCACAGGCGAGCCAGAGGTTTCATTTGATAAAAGCAAAGCACTGAGGATGCTGGAGGTTTGGAAGAACTGAAAGTACTGCACAAAGTCAGCAAGCATCTGTGGAGAGAAAGAGAGACAGTTGTTTAGAGTCCAATAGAATTCTTTTTTGGAATGAAAGAAGCCATCAGATTGGACTCAAAACATTAGTACTCTTTCCACAGATGCTGTTGGCCTGCTGAATTTCTCCAACACTTTCTGTTTAATTAAACAGAACTATTTCAATTTGGTTTTTCTCCCCCCATTGCTGTGAAAGGTGAGGCTGCCCCACAAACTATTATTACTTCCTTTTTTTTCAGCAGATGACAGCAGCACTGAATCTCAGCTTTCTGGATATTCAAGTTAGGCAGTTTGTAAAGAATACCTCTTGTTTCTTTTTTCAAAAAGTTCACTCACAGAATATGGGCACCACTGGCTGGGACAGCATTTATTGCTCATCCTTAGCTGCTTTCTCGAAGTGCTGCAATCCGATTGGCATACATACACCCACAATGCCATTAGGCAGGGGGTTCCAGGATTTTGGATTAGTGACACTGAAAGAACACTAATGTATTCCCAAGTCTGGGTGGCAAGTGGCTTGAAGGGGGCCTTGCAAGTGGTAGCTTTTCCATGTATCTGCTACCTTTATACATCTAGATGGTAGCGGTAGTGGTCGTGGGTTTGGGAGATGCTGTCTAAGCAGCCTTGATGAATTTCTCTAGTGCATCTTGTACATGGTGAACACTGCTGCTACTGAGCGTCAGTACTGGAAGGACTGAACGTTTCTATATTCAGAAACAATCTATTTGTTGCTCTCCTGAATCGCTTCCAGAACCTTGAATGTTGCTGGAGCAGGCCTCATCCAAGAAAGAAAACAGCATTCCATCATGATCTTGATGGGAGTCTTGTAGATGGTGGATAGGCTTTGGGGAAATCAGAAGGTCTGTTATTTGCTGCAAGGTTCCCAGCCTCCGATTTCCTCTTGTAACCACAGTGCTTGTATGATTCGTACAGTTCAGATTCTGGTCAATGGTAACCCCCACCCCAGAATGTTGATAATGGGGTATTCAGTGATGGTAATAGCAAGGAATGTCAAGGGAGGATGGTTAGATTCTCTCCATGTGCCTCTCTCATAAATAGCAAAGAAATATGTACACAGTCTTATAAGTACTGTAATGTAGACTAGGGAAATTAACTAAGAGGGAAGACAACCATGTTTTATTAGCTGTTAGGTATAATTTTATGACTGGCTTATATGCAGTGATCTGAAGATAAATTTTGTCAGTACATGTAGTTTCATAAACAAATGCTTTAATTCACATCTATTACATATCAGATTGACTTGTTCGTACCTTCCACGCTTTGTCTCAGTTTCTGAACATCGTCATCGGTCATATGAGAGAATTTGCAATTTACACCAAAATCACACTGACCTACAGGAAAAAAGTCATTAAAATCATAGCAGTAACAAAGGATGTATTCAAAACAAAAAGGTCAAATATAGTATTGATAAATGGTGTCGGAAAGCAACATTGGAGAGAAGCATGAACATGGTTCTCAATTTGAGTCACATTCAAAAGGGCAGCCTCCGGTTGATAAATCAGGTGGGATATCTATATCTTCAGTTGGCTACCCAAAGAATATACATGGAGGTCTGACTGCAGTGTCCTTTCCTCTCAACTGAAGGCAGAATTCAAAGACAGAGGAATAGAAAACAGCACTTTTTTGTTCTTGACATTACAATAGTATGAACTTGCCTATAAATTTTAGAATTGTTCAATTCATTGTGGTTTGATACTTAAGAAGATATTATACAGTTTTGGGGTTAGTTTTCAAACATACCTCAGACAGAAGGATGGAAAATAGACCTGTTCCCAAATCTCTGCAACTGACAGCTATGATCTGCATCAAGAATTCCAGGAGGCTTTAATACCTCACTGCTCCCTGCACTTGGTCACTTCAGACAATTTTAAGTGTACCAGAGTGGAAATAGAATGTCTTCACTTAATCCAACCCTTTTGTAAATCCAGAAAATTTACAAAGAGACAGCCCACCGTGTCAATTCCAGCCAAAAATGCAAAATTCTGCCTAATCCCACTTTCCAACTCTGGTTCATATAGGCTACAGCATTTCAAGTGCATATCAAGATTTTGTTTTAAAATGCACAGAAAGATTCTGATTGTCCCACTTTCAAAAGGCAGTGAATTTTAAACCACCTCACACTCTTAGGTGAAAACTTTCTCCTCAACTGCCCTTTAATTCTTCTTCTAATTACCTTAAATCAGGACTTCCCAAAGTGGGGGTCAGGACACCAAATAATAAACCCTGGTGAAAGCAGCACCAAAATGAGAAAAAGCCACTTGTATAACCTCTTTTTTAAAAAAAAAAGTAAGATAATGTTGAATTGACAATATCCTGACAATGTACAAGGTCAGCTAAGATTAGAGACTCTCTATCTTCCTGCAACTACACAGAGAAAAAGGGCTTCATGATCAACAGAACTTTTACAAGTACTTTTTTCTTTAAAACGTAAACATTACATAACTGCACACGAAAGTGTTTACGTATATATTCAACTTGCCATGCAAGTGAAAATCTGATTGAGGACTGATGAACTTACAGGAAAGGACAGTGGAAGTTAGTATAACAATCTGAAATACCAGTCTTACACACTGGCAGCAAATTGAGACTTTATCTTATTGTGCAAGGCTCTCAGTACCCAAAGACCCTCCAAAGTATCTGACCATTACCTTCCTGATAAAAATAGATTACACAGTTAGAGGCACAGAACAATTCAAACACTTCTGACCCAATGCAGCTTGTAGGGAGAAGTGAAATTACAACCAAATAATAGGTTATGGAATGACAGTTTTAATTCAGCATATCAGATCATTCCCTCTACTAATTTAGGATTACCAAGGACATCCCCCATTGCGATCTCTCTCCCCAAATTACTACTTCAGACAACTAAGTGATGAAGAATAGAAACAGGGCCTAGTTTTTACATTTTTTAAAAGTTCAGTCAAGGGATGTTGGTTTTACTGGCCAGTATAGCCAGGACGGCCCATCCCTAAAGACAGTGGAGGTAATGGTTGTGAACTACCTTCTTGAATTGCTGCAGTCCTTTGGGTTTATATATATCCCCAGTGCTTTGAATAAAAGGAGCTCCAGGATTTTGACCCAAGCAACTGGGATATAGTTCTAAGTCAGGATAGCGTATGGCTTGTAGGCTTCCAGTGCTGATGTGGAAAGGCATCTGCTGCCCTTGTCCTTTTAGATAGTAGGGGTTGCGAGTTTGGAAGTTACTGTCAGAGGTTCCTTAGTGAGTTACTGCAGTGCATCTTATAGATGATACACACGGCTGATACTGTGTCTTAGTAATAGAGAGAGTGAATGCTGGAGGAGTTGGAAGGGGTGCCAGTCAAATGGCATGCTGTGTCCTGGATGGCATCAAGCTTGAATTGTCACTGGAACTACATTCATCCCGACAATTGGAAAATTGAACAGACTTGAGAGTCACAAGGTGAGTTACTCACTGCAGAATTCCTAGTCTCTGACCCTCACTTGTGGCCATACTACATATATGGCTGATCCAGTTCAGTTTCTGGTCAATGTTGATTACAGGGATTCAATGGTAATGCCAGTGATGTAATGTTTAGATTTTGCCTTTTTGCAAGTGGTGGTTACCATCTTCAACCTTAATATACTTCTATTTACAGAGATGCACACTATAGACACACACCTCCAAACTTAAACCACATTGTTTGCCTGATCCTATATAATCCACCTGTTCAAACATATCATGACACACTTTGTGGGAGTAGAACTTAAACACAGAGCTCTGGCTCAGAGGTAGGGACACTACCATGCTGCCACAAGACTATTTGTGTTGTTTTTTAAGCACGTGGTTCCTCAAGACAGAAAAGGTAGATTTGTACACACGGGAAGTGAACCCATACCCTGGCCTTAATGAGCAACAACTACAGCTAGGAGCCTCCTGTGGTCAAAAAGAATCTGCTAACACTGACACCGAGGCTCACGTGAATAATGGTTGCTTGGGTCCAGTACCAAAGGTAAATTGGTACTTCAGCAACTTACAAGAGAAGCAAAGAGTTACCATTGTTTTGTTTTCCCATAACTCAGCTGGAGATATTACATTATAATCATTCACATTCTCATTTAATGAAAGCAGAGTCTTTTGGGACTAGGGAGCATTATGTTACTGAGTGCAATCTTCTGCTTTTAGACCCTCATCACTGGGAAGAGGGACAGAATATAATTACATTAGCATGAACGAGATTTAAACACAAGTCCCAGAGTTGACGAAAGAACATGCTTGCCACGTTGCGCTGTTCAGTTTCTGTACTTCCTTCTTTGGATATTTCTGCACTTACCTGATTGTAGAAACTTTCTGCAAGGCTTTTTGGCAAGCTCTTCTGCCAGTATTGTGGCACTATCTGAAATCCAAAAATTAGATTATTTTGTACTTCAATTAAAAAAAAACATACCATCTTGTATCACAGTTTTTCCAAAGAAACAAGTGCATTTCAGCTTACTTCATGATAGGTGAGGTCCCACAATTGATCACAGCACACTAGGCAGAGGAGCAGAAATTCAGTGTTTCCGCTTATTATCCAGTGACCTTTACTGAAAACTAGGAATGAATTTGACTCTGAAGGCTCCATACTACCATAGTCAAACAGCTGCAGAAACAAGACTCACAAGGAAACAAAACAAATTGACTGAAAGGGCAATCAGCATCTACGTGAACGTACTACAGTGAAGAATTAATACTTGCAAGGGGAGAAAACAGGTTGGCAAATCGGCAGAGAAAGATAGTAAGTTTTCAGAACAACTGGGTTTTCTTTCAAATACTGCTTCTTCCGCCTTAAATCTTCCTCCCACAAATCCAGCATGAAGGTACCATTCTACTGTCAGTGATCACCAAATAATACCTCACCTAAGTTAATGCACACAAAAAGTTCTTAATCAGGGAAGAAATCAATCAATAAATACTGTTCTTGTTTAATCACACAAACTCAAAACAGGAACTGTGTTAAGGACAAGAGCGTGGAAAACATTAGAGCCATTTCAAAACAGAAAACCAAGATAACCCAAAAGGGTTTTAACATAATTAATCTTGATTCAGTTGTAGCTGCTGGAAAACAGAGTCATTATTAAGATTAAATCATACTTCAAAAGAGACGGGTGAATCAGAGAGGTAGAATGAACAGTAATAGACAGATCATATTTAGATAAATTGACTCTTTTTTAAAAATGGGAAACCTTAGCCATGTTTGGAAATTAATATGAAACTGCAAGCTCCCTACTAGAATATTGGAACCATAGGGAGGGAAGCAGATAATTATTTCAATTCCAAGTTATAATTACAAAGAAAGGCTCAAGAAGCTGGCCTTTACAGTGGATTAGAGGCTAATGGGGAATCAAAAAGATATTTTCAAAATAAAAGATTTCAGATGTAGAGCGGGGGTGGCGGTGGCTGCTGAGGATAGCAAGAGAGCGAGAGCATGAGCATGAGAATGAGCGATCGTATAATGGTATTGTCACAGTACTGATAATCCAGGCGCCAAAGCTACGACACTGGAGATACAGGTTGACATTCAATCATAGCAGCTGATAAATTTTACATTAATTGATAAAGTCTGGAATTGAAAACTAGCCACCACAACTGAGACCATCATCAATTGTCATAAGGCCCAGCTGGTTCACCAAAGAAATAAATATGTTACATTAGGACTGAAGTAGAATGTGAACTTGTCATGACTTAAACTGTATCTATCCGATCAGTTATGATGTTTGTTAGGGAAGGGGAAATCTGTCTTCCTTGCCTGATCTGGCCTACATTTGATTCCAGACCTAAAGTAATGTGGTTGACTCAGAACTGTTCTATGTGGCTACTCAGTTCAAGGGTAATTAGGGATTAGCAACAAATGCTGGCCTTGCCTATCATGCCAGCATGGATTAAAGAATCACTTTTTTAAAAAAGCATTGTAGGTAAAAACATAACTGGAGATGTTTGCTAACTTATTGAGTTTCTGAATGTAATCACTAGGAAAACAAAGAATTGGACAAGTATTTGCGAATTAATGCAAAAGGATAAAAAGGAAAGAGGATTACAAAAAGTTTCACATGAAGTATCAGCATGATGAACCAAATGATCTCCTTCTCTATTGCAAGTCACATTTTTTTTTACATGGACTTTGAATAGTGAATACCAATAGCTGCAGAATCTGATGTGCTTCTAGTAACCCACAGCATTGCAGCCAATTGTAGGACCCCAAACAGCCCAGCTGATCTAACTCCGACAAGGATCAAGGATTCACTGAAAGTATTTCACATTAAGTCACAAGATATTGGTGCATCTCTGAAAATGATGTGAGCATTTTAATCTATCTTGGCAGTAATGGAGGAGAATGTTTAATTTCAAATTTACATCTTCCAAACATTTTCTTCTCCAGGGAAATTAGCTCTACGTACTTAGTACGTGAACTGCACAGCACAAACTACGTAGCTCGGTCAGAAGCAGAATCACCTGAGTCTATCTCACAAAAAGGAATGTGTCTGGATGTTATCACATTGTTGCTCACAGAAGTGATCAGGGAAGGCAATGGCCAACTGATATTAAAAACCGAATGAACTGCAGATGCTGTAAATCAGGAACAAAAACAGAAGTTGCTGGAAAAGCTCAGCAGGTCTGGCAGCACCTGTGAAGAAGAAAAAAAATCAGAGTTAACATTTTGGGTCCGGTTACCCTTCTTCAGAAATGATGATGCTGCCAGAACTGCTGAGCTTTTCTAGCAACTTCTGTTTTTGGCCAACTGATATTATTAGGCTATAAATCCAGAAACTCAAGTTCAAATCCTGCCATGGCAGATGGTGGAATTTGAATTCAATAAATGTCTGGAATTAAATCAACAAATCTAATGATGACCATCGTTGATTGTCGGAAAATCCTATCTTGTTCACAATGTCCTATAAAAGGAAGGAAACTGCTATCCTTACCTAGTCTGGCCTACATTTGACTCCAGACCACAGCAATGTGGTAGACTCTTAACTGCCCTCAGTTAACAAGCCACTCAATTGTAACAATCATCTTAAAGTCTCAAAAAAAAAAAAAAAAACAAAAAGAAATTAAACCAGACAGACCATGTAGCATTGACCTACACAGTAGAAATGACAACGGCAAAAAACAGCCTTGTCAGTCCTGCAAAGGCTAGTCCCGAAACTAGTAGAGCTATCTCAGTAGTCAAGCAACACACTATCGTGGTCATGCTCACAGAATCATACCATCCTTAGATATACCCTGTCCCACGAGCGGGACAGACCCAGCAGAGGTGGCTGCACAGTGGCATACAGTCAAGACAGCATTACTCAGAGGTCCTCATAATTGACGGCAGACAGCAAGAAATCTAATGGCACTAGGTCAAACATGGACAAAGATTATCACATACTGTCCTTCCACAACTAATGAATCAGAGCTCCAAGTTGAATAATTCTTAGAGAAAACACTGAGGACAGCACGGGTGCAGAATACATTCTGGTGAGGGACTTCAATGTCCAGCACCAAGAGTGGCTCACCAGCAGCACTACTGATCAAACTGATTGGGTCCTAAAGGTGCTAGACTGCGGCTGTGGCAGGTGGTGAGGGAACCAAGAGGGAAAATATACTTGACTTCATCCTCAGCAATCTCCTTGCTGCAGATGCAACTATCATAAATTTGGTCAGCGTGACCACTTTAGAGATGATACCCCACCTCCACATTGAGAATACCATACACAGTGCATCATAATCAGTCCGCTAATCAGCACAGACTTTGAACACATCGAGAAACTGAAAGACATCGGAGACACCCTTGGCCACAAGCAGAAGAATCAATCAATCATTCTCCAACACAATCTGCACCTTCATGGCATGGCATATTCCCCACTCTACCATTACCATCAAGCCATGGGGTCAATCCTGGTTAAATGACGAGTGCAGAAGGGCATGCCAGGACCAACACCAGGCCAACCCAAAAATGAGGTGTCATTGTGATGAAGTACAAAAAGGACTACTTGCATGCCAAACAGAGAAGCAGCATGTGATAGACAGAGCTAAACGATTCCACAATGAATGGCTAAGGATTAAGCTCGGCAGTCCTGCCACATCAATTTGTCAATAGTGGTAAAGCAGGTTTCATCCTCAATCAAGGGGAAGCCCTGCACATCAGTGTAAAAGATAATGTTGAAGCATTCGCAGCACTTCTGGCTGAAGATTGTTAAGTGGATATGTGAGACAATGTGCCTCCTCCAGGAGGTCCTCAGCATCACAATTGCCATTTTGAATCACTCCCTAATATGCCAAGAAACAGTCAGAGGTACTACAAAGGCTATGGGCCATGACAACATCATGGTAATTGTACCAAAAACATCCTCCAGAACCCCTAGCCAAGCTGTTCCTGTACAGCTACAACACTGGTATTTACCTGACAATGAGGAAAGTTACCCAGATACGTTCTGTACACCAAAAGCAAAACAAATCTAACCCAGCCAATTACCTCCTCAGTCTACCAATCATACATAAAAGTAATGGAAGGCACCAACAATGCCATCAAGCAGCACATGCTTAGCAATAACTCGCTCATTGATACCCAGTTTGTATTCTGACAGGGCCGTTCTGCTCCTGACCCCATTATAGCCTTGGTTCAAACTTGGACAACAAGAGCTGAATTCCAAACCATCTTTAACATTAAGGCTACATTTCACTGAGTAAGGCATCGAGGAACCTGATCAAAACTGGATTCAGGGAGAAATCTCTCAGCTGGTTTGAGTTTTACCTGGAGCAAAGGAAAATATTTGTGGTTGTTCAATATCAGTTATCTCAGCTCCAGAACATCAATGCAGGAGTTCCTCAAGGTTATGTCTTTGCTCATCCTGCAGCAGCTTCATCAATAATCTTCCCTCCATCATCGGGTCAGAAGTGGAGATATTTGCCAATGACTGCACAATGTTTAGCACTATTTGCAATATCTTGGATACTAAAGCAGTCCATGCCCAACTGTAACAAGTCTTGGACAACATCCAGAGTTGGACTGAAATATGGCAAGTAAAATTCGCACCACACGGAAGTCAAGCAATGACGATTTGCAACAAGAGACAACTGAAGTATCATCCCTTGACATTCCATGGCATCGGCATCACCGAATCCTTCATTATTAACATCCTGGAATTTCGACCGACCAGAAACTGAACCGGACTCACATAGAAATACAATGCCTACAACAGCATATAAGGCACACCATCCAGAACAAAGCAATCTGCTTGATTTGAGCTACATCCACAACTATCCACTCCCCCCACCAGTGACGCTCAGTTGCAGCAGTGCACATCAACTACATGAGGCATTGTAGAAATTCCCTCTAAAGATTCACAGATAGCACCTTCCAAGCTCACAACCACTTCCATCTGGAAGAACAACAGCAAAAGTCACATGGAACACCACCAGCTGCAAATTCCCCTCCAAGCCACTCACCAACCGGGGATGGACAATAAATGCTGGTCCAGCCAGTGATGTCCATATCCAGTGAAAGATTTTCTTTTTAAAAAGATATTGTGACGCAGATGAAAGCCATTCAGCCCATCAGCGTGCACCGGTCCCCAAATGAGCATAATAAAATAGTGCTGTCTCCTGACATGTTCGTTTTTCCACAATACGACAGTGACTGGAGTTCTAACATTGTTAAATTGGTTGCAAAATAGTTTGGGAGACCTGAAATCATGCCATTTAAACGCAAATCTCAACTGCTCCTGGTGACAGAAGTAACTAAAAAAAAGCTTGCAAACGTCTACCTTCACTTCCCACAGTTTCCCCCGACTTGAAAAATCACAATGTATTTTGAATTCACGGGATTTAAGTGCAGTCTGCTCCGAATTATCCACCCGCAGTAATCAACCTAGCTGTTCCAGAACTTTCTAAGGCCCTCCCCACCCCAGGCAGGACTAACGTCTTCCACATTTACCTCGGAAACAGTCGAACCAGAATTTCTTGGCTCTCTGGTGTTGAACTCCTTGTAAATGTTTCTTTCTGTTGTGGAGATTGTCTTGAAACGATCTGCTGCAATAATCGCAGAAGTAGGTTTTCCCCATCGCCGAAAAGACAACGGACGATGGCGAATCTGCTGCTACTACTGCCACCGGTCACAGTATCACTCCCGTTCCCAAACCGAGGGATAGGGGGAACCGGCGCTGGTGAATCCCGACTCGAAACGTCGACTTTCCTGCTTCACCGATGCTGCCTGGCCTGCTGTGTTCCTCCAGCTCCACACACAGTTTTAATCTGTGACTCCAGCAGCGGCAGTTTATTGCTGCCTCCGATTGAATCTGCAGACGCCTTTATCCAAACGGCGCCGATTAACGCCCATGTGTTAATACGCGGATGATAACGGCGGGGCTGGTTTCGCGGCCTCTTTAACGGACACCGCGCGACAGGGATCGGAGTGGGCGTTTCGGGGCGGCCGCGGTGGGATTTATTTTCCCCACCCCGCCACCGCGCAGCTGTAATCGCGCAGGAGGAGGAGGTTTACTTGTGAACGGCGGAAGGAGTACAGCGGGGAACATGGCGGCGTTGAGGCAGGTTTACAACATGATGTTCAAGCGAACGTCCGCCTTCGCCCTCACCATCGTGGTGGGTGCTGTCTTCTTCGAAAGGGTATTCGACCAAGCGGGAGACGCTCTGTTTGAACACCTCAATCAAGGGGTGAGTATTCGGGGATGTGGGGGGCTTCAGGGAATGTGACTAACATGAGGCCCCTGGAGAGGGTTCACCTTCAGCTGTCCTGGAACCGACTTTCTTCTCCAGGGCCGGCTAACCGCAGGTTTTTCTTCTTGTAAAAAAAGAATGAATTCAAACAACACGCTGCAGAAACTCGAGTTCTGCAGCACCTATGTAGAGAAAACAAAGTTAACATTTCGAGGTGTGTCGGTGTTGGGCTGGCGTGGACAAAGTCGAACTCTCAGGCTTTCGGACCACTGCTCCTTCGTCAGGTAGAAGGAGCTGGTGTCCTGTGACTTCTGACTTTCTTTTTAAAGATTCACAAGATGTAGGTGGGCCAGCGTTTATTTCCCGTCCGGAGTTACCCTTGAGTAGATGGTCGTAAGCTGTTTTCTTGAAACGCTGCGGTCCATGTGCTTCAGGTAGACCCACCATGCCCTTTAGAAAGGGGATTCCAGGATTTTGTCTGAAGGAAGATAAATTTATTCCTAAGTCAGGGTGATGAACTTGCAGGGTAACTTTCGGGTGGTTGTGGTCCTACATATCTGTTGACTGTGAATTTCTAAACGGAAGTGGTTGCAGGTTTCAAAGCTGCTGTGGGAGAACCGTGGTGAGTTACTGGAGTATATCTTGTGGATGTACGCATTGATGCTATCGTGCATCAATAGTGAGGGGAGTGAATGTTGAAGGCTGTAGATGTAGTGCCAATGAAACAGGCTGCTTTGTCCTGAATAGTAATGAGCTTTGGTGTTGGGATGCATTTACCCAGGCAAGTGGGGAGTATTCCATCACACTCCTGATGTACTTGTAGATGGTGGTCAGGCATTGAAGACACCGGCCGTAAGTTACCCGATGCAGAATTCCAAGGACTTGACCTACCCTTGTAGCCACAGCATATTGGATGGCTGGTCCTTTTCAGTTTCTTGTTAATAGTAACCTCAGTGTTTGGTGGGGAATTAAACTGTGTAATACGATTGAATGTCAATGGGAGTGAAGGGTGATTGGATTATCTGTTGGCCCTTGTATGGTGTAAATATTACTTGCTACTTATTAGCTCAAGTTTGAATGTTGTCCATGTCTTGCTGCATTTGAACATGGAGTGCTTTAGTATCTGAGAAGACACCAGTAGTACTGAACGCTATGCAAAACATGAGCGAACGTCCCACTTCTTAGCTTGTGATGGTGAAAAGTTTATGGATGGAGCAACTGAAGATGGTTAGACCTATGACACCACCCTGAGGAACTTCTGCAGTCATGAAGTAGCTGACCTTCAACCACAAACATCTTCATTTGTTAAGTATGACTCCAACCTGTGGAGAGATTTCCACTAATTCTCAATTTCAGTTTTGCTAGGGTTTCTTGATGCTACACTTGGTCAAATACTACCTTGATTTCAAGGGCATCTTTAGTAAAGCTCTTTTGTCCATGTTTGGACTAAGAGTGTAATGAAGTCAAGAGGTGAGTGCGCCTGGCAGACTATTGTTGAAATGAATGCTGCTTGATAACACTGCCAACCACACTTTGTCACTTTTGATAAAGAGTAAACTGCTGTGATTCTAATTGGCAGGGATAGTCCTGCTTTTTGTGGACCAGACATATCTAGACAAATTTCCACATTGCTGATGTTGTAACTCTACTAGAATAGCTTGGCTGTGGAGTTTGGTTAGTTCTAGGGCACATCTTTGGTACTGTTGCAGGAATGTTGGTGGCTTTCATAGCCTTTATAGTGCCATTTTCTTGATTTTTATGTAATTGAATCAATTTGACTGGAGGCTGGCTTCCGTGAAATTTGAGCATCTCAGGACGGTACTGAAATGGGTCATCCATTCAGCACTTTTAAATAAAGATGCATGCAGTAACTTCAGCCTTGTCTTTTGCTGGGCTCCATCATTGTTGAGGATGGGGATATTTGTGCAACTGTTTTCACCGGTGGTGGCAATTGAGTCAACTAGGTCTGTGTTCACTGGAGTTTCGAAGAATAAGAGGGGATCTCATTGAAGTACACAAACCTCTGACAGAGCTGGACAGACCAGGTCCAGGGATTATGTTTCCCCTGGTCGGATCGGGGGAAATTTCTTCCCTCGCGATGGTGCACGTGTGGAATTCTGTACCACAGAAAGCTGTAGAGGCTAAGTCACTGAATATAGTAAGAAAGAAATATATTTTTAAAGGTGTTAAGGATATGGGGAAGAACAGGAGTATGGTATTGAAATGAAGGATTGTCTATGATTGTGTTGAACAGTGGCTCAATGAACCAAATGGCCGCCTACTCCTATTTTCTGTTTTTATTTTCTAAAAATTAACACTCATTCTGTTTGACTTTTTTCCTCAAACAAATTTGCACAGCTTGCTCACTTCTTCCTTCTCACCTCATGGAAAAGATAAAGTTTAAAACAGTGAGTGGCATTTTCACGTAGATCAGTAAAGAGCAATTTCTATTTGGTCAAATAATTTCTTCCAAACATTTGAAAGTGAACTGAATTGCAAGTGCATCCGTAGAAGTCCCTGGTTTGCTACTTAGCCATTCTTTTTCAGAATGCTGCAGTCAGAGCAGCAAATGAATGGTCACTGACCTGAAACATGAACTCTTTCTCCACAGGTATTGCCTGACTTGCTCGGTGTTTCCAGCAATTTCTGTTTTTGCACTTTTCCTGCATCTGCAGCATTTTGCTGTTGGCTCAGTGACTGAGTTATTTGGAATAGAGTAAATTTAGAACCATCAGCCAGTGACATGTAATGGTAGTCTTGCCCAGTTTCGATGATCATCTCGTACCGCTTCAAAAAATCTCACGAAAATAAACAAACTAACGGATGAGAAGGTTCTGGCGAAATGAGATTTAGAAATCCAAGGAGAAGTAGCAAGGCATCAAACAATTGTAGCAGTGTCAGTAAAGTCAAGCGGAATGGGATCAATGGTAGGAATCAACTAGTACAAATGCATTTAAACATTTTGGTCCAATTGCCATCACACAGACATGGTTACAAAATGATCAAGTGTGGAAAATAAATATTCCAGGGGCACAATATTTGATAAAGACAGAATAGCAGAGGAGGAGGAGTGGCCTTAGTGAAGGATGACATAAATACATTTAATAAGAACAGATGCAGCCTCAGAAGATCATGATATAGTAAGGATATGGTTGGAAATTAGGAATAGAAAGAGTTTGAAAACACTCATGGGGATAGTTACAGGCCCCCAGTAGTAGCTACACTGTTGATAGAGCATTTAAAAAAAAAAAAAAAAAAAAATTGGATCTTCTAATTAAGGCAAAGTAATAATTGTGGCAAACAATCAAATCAGCAAGGGTTGAGTAGAACACTAGTTTCTTGCAGTAAATATTATGGAATGGACTAGCAATAAAGTTATGTTGGATCTTATGTAATGAAGCAAGATTAATTAATGGGAAATGGTGGTTGTAACACCATTGAATTCCACATTGAGTTTGAAATTGATGTACTTAATTGTGCAAGAATCTTAAATTGAAACAAAGTCAGTTGCCTAGGGATGAAGGAAGAATTGGCTAAGATTAGGTGGTTTAGTAAGTATGATAATAAATGAACAGTGGGCAACATCCAAAGAAGCAATTCAAAATGTTCAACCAAAATTCTTTCCATTGGGCAAGAAAGACCTGACCATAGTTCAATAAGGAAGTTAACGGTTGTAAGCCTCTTAAAATACTATGTCGCAAAGAAAATACAGTAAATCTGAGAATTGGAGGTGTTTGAGAAAATGAGTAGACTAGCCAGAAATACAAAGTTTTAAGAGCTTCTGTTAAGTCAATATAAAGGAAGATGTTGGCAAAAGTAAATATTGGTTTCTTAGCAGCTAAGGGAGATGACATAAAGGGTTAATCAATGGTTTGAACAAATATTTAGTGTTTTCCTGATAGATTTAATTAAGTAGGCAAATGGAGTATAATATGGGAAAATGTGAAATTGTTCATGTTGGAATGGAGAACAAAAAATAGTACTATTTAAGTAGAGAACAGTTGCAACACAACAAGTCTTGGGGTACTTGTGCACAAAACACAGAAAGCTAGCACGTGAGTGCAGCAGGTAATCGGGAAGGCTGATGTAATGTTGGCCTCGATTTCAAGGGGATTGGAGTATGAGTAAGGAAGTCTTACTGCAATCGTATAAGGTGCTGGTGAGACAACATCTGGAGTACTGTGAGCAGTTTTGGTCTCCTTTTTTAAGGATATTGTTTCATTGGAGGCAGTTCAGAGAAGGTTCACTGGGATGATTCCTGGTATGGTGGTGGAGGGGTGGTTGTCTTTTTAACAGAAGCTAAACAGGTTGGGACTGTACTCATGGAGTTTAGAAGAATGAGAGGTGATCTCCTCTTAACACATAGAATTGTTAAGGGACTTGACAGGATAAATGCTGGAATGATGATCTCTCTCATGGGAGGGTCGAGGACCAGAGGGCATGGTCTCAAAATAAAGGGGCACCAATTAAAGACTGAGGAGGAGGAATTTCTTCTGAGTGTCTTTGGAACTCTTTGATACAGAGCTGTGGGGGCAGAGTTCTTGTGTATTTTAAAGGCTCCTAAGATAGATTATTGATCATTAAAGGTTATGGGGAAAGGCAGGAAATTGGATGTGAGGAGTGTTGGATCAATGACGATCCTATTGAATGATTGAGTAGGCTCGAGGGGCCAAATGGCCTACTCCTGTTCCTATTTCTTACGGCCTTATAAAACGGAGCTCGTAGATGTAGTAAAGCTGGCTTTCCAAATAGCATCAGTAATGTGCCACACAAAACGTTAATAGGTGTCATAAGTGCTCGTGGAGTTGGGCATGATATATTAACATTCCTAAGTGTTGATAGGTGTGCACATAAAACATCAGCACATGTGCAGCAAACATTTTTTTGGATGTGTTGAATTAATTGCCTCTATCCAATTGCCCTGAGAAAAGTGGTCAGAATTTGAATTGCTGTTAATGGTTGTATGGCGCTCGCACATTACAATAAGTCTGAAAACCTAACCAGTTTCTGTAGACCAGATGTGTGCAATATTTTTTCCCCTCTTCCTACACTCTCTCTGTTCTTAGGTGTTTTATTTGTGCTTTACCCTCCCATTGCTTAAGCTTTTGTTTTTTTTTGTATATTGTATCTTTGCCTATTGGCGTGACCTTTTCACACAGGGTGGTTTGTATGTAGAATGAACTGCTAGAGGAAGTGGTAGATACAGGTACAGTTACAACATTTAAAAGACATGTGGAAAGGTTTAGAGGGATATAAGGCAAGTGGAGTTAGTTTAGTTTGGGAAACTTGGTCAGCAGGGACGAGTTGGACCGAAGGGTCTGTTTGACTCTGACTCATGGGATGTGGGTGTTGCTAGTTAGGCCTGCATTGATTACCTAACCCCGGTTGCCCTTGAAGGTGGTGGTGAATTGTCACCTTTCAACGGCTACAGTCCATTTAGTATAGGGGTACCCACAATGCTTTTGAGGGAGGGAATTCCAGAATCTTTCCCTAGCTTTCCTGAAGATTGGGCAGCACAGTAGCTCAGTGGTTAGCACTGCTGTCTCGCACTGCCAGGGACCAAGGCTTGATCACAGCCCTGGGTGACTGGCTGTCCGTGTGGAGTTTTCTTGTTCTCCCTATGACCAGTTGGATTTCTGCTGGGAAATGTCATTTCATCCCACAGTCCAAAGATGTGCAGGTTAGGTGGTTATGCTAAAGAAAAATTGCCCTGTAGGGCTCCGCTTGGTGCAGGCTAGGTGGATTAGCCATAGTAAAGACAGGTTTACCAGGATAAAGTGGGACTTGATGGGCTGAATGGCCTCTCACTGCACTGTAGTGATTCTATGTTCAAGAGGGTGGGGTATGCTCACTGTTCGTGCTCTTCTCACTGATTTACTTTTCTGTATTCTTGCCCAGTGTAGCAATATATCTCAAACAGAACATTAAATCCCACTTCACAATTTTAGTACACAAGATTAAACTGACATTCTGGTGCAATGAATTAACATTGCATTGAGCGAGTACCTGATCTGGTTTAAACTAAGGCTCAATGGGCCTGTTTTGCCTCAAGCAGAGTTCTGATAATCTGACTAATACTACTTCTGCTCAATTAAGGCTACAAAAAACATTACTCATTTATATTGTGGAATCTTACATTTTGCATTTCTAAAGCAGCTAATGTCATCATTTTTTTTGTAATAAATTTTGCCTCAAACTTCTAAAGTCACTGGAGTAACATTTATCATGAAACAATGAAGTGAAGGGATTTAGTAACATAATATTTTCTCTTTTTAGAAACTTTGGAAACACATCAAGCACAATTATGAAAAGAAAGAGGAAGAATAATTAGAAGTCAGTACTGCACGGTGTTCTCCAACTGGCTTGTTGCTACTATTGAATGGCCCAACACTACTATGCCATCCACCAGGACCATTAACTTCCAGATTGACTTGAAATAGTCTGAGGAAAATGGATTGATGCTGTAATGCAACAAGTGCTGGGCCCATTTGTTGAAATTATTACTAAAACATGTATCTAATGAATTCAACAATTTATCTGCCATTAATCATTTTTCCATCCTGATCACAATAAATACTTTAACAAGAATGAGGGTTTTTTCATTTCAATGTACTATTTCTTAATTGAAGTTAATTGTCCTTTTTATCTAGCATTTCAGTATTTTTAATATTTTTCCATGGGATTAGATTAATGTAATATTGCTGTTAAAAATAAATCAAGTTTCTGTCTCCATAACCTGCTTAATAAATCGCTAACTTGCCTCCCTGCTAGACTGAGCTACATTGGTCAACAGAGATCTCAACTTCAAAATTGTCCTCGTTTTCTCTTTACTAGGCTTTGTTCCTCACTAATTCCTTAATCTCTAGCCTCCCAACACTTGAGTTTAGCTTCTTGAGTATTCCCACAGTTGCGGCTATCACTGTAGTTTAAAGTATTGGCAAAGATCAGTAGTTCGGGTTGTGGACGAGGTTGTTGACTTGCGAACCCAGCTGGCTTGTTTTTATTTTGAAACTGTTGCTTAAGTCCCCATATCTGGAATTTTCTGCTTTTGTAGCTCTTTCCCACTATAAAACCTACCCATCGGCCCAAGCTTTGGCATTTTGGCTTAATATCTTGTAGTTCAGTCAAATTTTGCTTAATACTTTTAAGCAGTTTACTGAGATGAAAAATTGATTTTTAAACCGAAGTTGCATTAATCTAACCCCAGAAAAAACTCATTATTAAAATACTGAAATGCTAGATTTAAAAACTGGACAGGCTGATAATTTGCATTGAAGATTCTGTTGCAGAAAACATACAAGTTTAAAATACATGAAAGTAAATGCTACTGTCTTCAAAAATCAAATCATGGGAGGATGTGGTATACAGCAGTTATTTGTCAGCCAAAGCAGCTTACTAATACAAAGCAAAGGGGGATTTAAAAAAAAAAAATCAGGATCAACCTCTGGCTTCTTCACTAAGCATGTTAAATACTCTGCCTGTTCTCTAACCACAATTTGGAGGAGTTCATAAACTTTGTCAATCTACCTCGGGGAGAGAAGTTAAAGCTTTAAATCCTTCGGTTTTCAGACTCACCTTCCTCAGCTTTGTGTGAATACCTCTGATCGGATTACTGTGTTCCTGTCCAATATACAGTAATGTTTTTCCAACAACACATTGAGTAAAACAAAGCCATCCCTTTTCCTAGGGATCATCTGAAACTGGACTAGATAGTTCACAATTGTGAACTGAATTATAACGAATGATTTTGGCTTGATTAATTGCCTGAGGAATTAAAAAGATCCTGTTTAATTGTGGTCAACTACAAAACAGTTTAAAGTAGAAGAGCCATGTGGTACACCTCAAATGTAAGGCACAGGCTAATGTGCAATTATGCCAAGTGAAAATGCTTCCAGTAATATAGCTTTCAATTGTTGGCATAATTTTGCATTAACCTGTGCCATAAAACCACAGCCAAGTTTTACAAAACTAAACTGTTTTGAACTTTGTATGCAACAAGCCTACCTCAACTAGTTCTGTACAGTTATTGAGCACTTTTTTTCTCCAGGTATCAAGTTAGTCATGTTAATTCTTTCAACTAAAGGATATTGACAGGTTTTGGAGAGATCATTTAGGATAATAGTTAGTCACCAGTAGATCACACAACAGTCTAAACAAATATGCAAGTTACTCTATTGGTGCCATGTTAGTAAGAGGGACAATTATTATAAAAGGGGCAGTTTCAAAGAATGAATCAGGAGAGACCAGGAAGTGATGTCATCAAGCTGACTTTTAAAGAAACTGATTAGAAATTGAGCATTCACTGTTCAGCCAATTTGAGATTGATCATGCTGTCTATGCTTTAACAAACAAGTCAGTGTTCAAACAAAAACAAGTTACTAGAAAAGAGCAGGTCTGGCAGCATCTGTAAAGAGAAATCAGAGTTAACGTTTTGGATCCAGTGAGCCTGCCTCAGAACAGAGTTCAGGATGTCTGTGATCGTACATAGAGGATAGAGGCCAGGTAGAATTAATAAATGGTAATTCTTAGTGGTTTGGTGCACAAAAGAGAACTGAACATAGAAGGGTATTTTTAGCCAACAGAAGAGAAGTGGTGACGTGTCAGTATGCCAGAAATGTGAGCTGGCGTCCTGAAATGAATCAACTGGAATATCGTTTCTTTTGTACTTGGTTTCATAAAACTTATTCTGCGCAACTTTGAAAATACACTGATCTTGTGCTGCACCAATTATAGCCTTGTGTATATCCTAACTTTAATTGCTGTGCTATTGGTAGCCATAGCCCAAGCTGTGAATGCCATAGCATTAAGTCTCTCTCCAAATCACACTCTACTCCTTTAAAATGCTTCTTAAACCCTTTTTTTTTTTAAAACCACATTTTGGTCATTTGCCCTAATACCTGTTTATGTAACTTAAATTTTACTTGCCCCTGTGAAGCATCTTGGGCTGTTTTACTATCTTAAATTTGTTCCTTGATACTCACACTAATGTGAGCAAGGTCCAGTTTCTTTTCAACAAACTATTCCTATAACTATCACCATTGTTGTTTTCCTTCATTGTACGTTTACTTTGATAACCGTGTATGTAATTTTATACAGTTTCTGTACCTCATTCTTTTCTTGTACCCCCTGCAGTATTCTGAATTGGAGAATGTTCCGTTAAAGATATAGCAACTGTTTGCTACCATTTCAAGCAGAAGTGGATCTATAGAATTGCAACCTGAATAAAAGATGATAGAGGCCATTTAAGGCTCAATAGAGGCTTAATCAAGGCACTCAATTATATCAGGAAATTTAAAGATGGGCAATAAATATCAGCTTTGCCACCGATGCAACTGAGAAAGAAAAACTACCACACGCTGACCAATGGCTATCTTTATTTTAAAATTCCTCGTGAACATTTATATTAGATATTTTAAATTGTACTCTAATAAATTGGTTTTAATAAAGAGGGTAGATTATGTAAATATTCCAAACTAAAAAAGGAATCAAGATTGTGCAAAACAAGCAATGGTGCACTACATAACAGTGTTTCTGATGCTGCTGTGGCCTCAACGGTAAAGAGTTAAAAATGATGAATTGTACACATTAGTCTGTATGCTGAAACCATCCTCAATTTTGAGGAAAAAATCTATTTCAACCCTCATTTCATTCTTGTTTTCACATTTAAATTATATAATCATAATGCAACTGTGCTCTGCCATGCATTTGGGGAGAGCAAATCTACATCAATATCTTCTCTAAAATGAATCATGAAGTAAATGGTTAAGATGTTTTGAGCAGTCCAGACACCCGAGCTGATCAGGTCAAATGTGCAAACTCATCACAGCACTCAACACCAGTGAAAGACCCGACAGCAGGATGTACAGAAACACTTTTGGGACTGTGAAGGTTATAGTAATACACCAAAAGAAATATTCAAAAATTGTCTTTTCTCATTAAAAATAAAATTTCAATCAATGCAGTTGATATATATTGCAGGTTTTATGAATTACAGGCAGATTCGAGCACAACCAAATAAGCAGAGGCACTGCTGCATTGAGCAACTCCATTTGAGTTATCAGTAAATAAACAAAAGACGAATACTCCAGTCATGCAATAGCTGATAATCTAACTGTATCACTGTTTATTTCAGTCGTCTTGACTTGTCATTCAAACTACAAGCCAACAGAAGGTAAATTGGCCAACTGACACGACAAATTATGTGGCAAAATATTTCAAAGATTCAATACCTTCTCTTGAGGAGAAAAATGGACATGCCTTACTGTGCATCACATTTGGCTATAATTGCTTGAGAAAAGAAATTATGGAAAGTTAGAGCCCAATTTACTAGCTGGAAGTGGCCACTGGAGGCAAATAAGTTTGTGATGGAGGCAAAAATGTTTGAAAAATATTTAAGATGGAATCATTCCTTTGTTCCTCTTCCTATCTGCAAGTGATCGCCGATTATGATTAGCTCGAAGGGATTTATTGGCCTCTTTCTTTCTTCTCTCTATTAGGGTTTCTTTCGATTGCCCTTGGCCTCTTGCATTCCCCACAGCAGCACTATTGTCATGCTTAAACCTGCAAAAGTAATATATAAATATATTTAGAAGCAGTTAATTGAACAAGTTAGACAATTCCTTTTGCTTCTACTAGAGAAATCAACTATAATGGTCACAACTGGATAATTATGGGAAGGAGGGACAAAAATCTGGGAAAGGCAGTGCAGGAATCAGCTGGATTTCTAATGTGTTACAATGTGCAGTTCTGTACAAATTTCCTAAACGCTATTCAAGCTAGACTTCCCACCAACAATGTGAATGCAAATAAGACATCTAATAATCCTGAGGGAGATGCAACTATTTCCTTTACAGCACACTTTTGATAGATGTATATCCCAAAGTATTTAAAGGATTACTAGAACTAAAAAGCAATGTCACAAGCTGCATTTTTTTGGCTAAGCTACATGTTCCTTATATAAATATAGTCGCAAGATTTTAATCATTAAAAACTTAAATGGTCTAGCAATTTTGCATAACTTTGACAGCTGGAAATGGATGTGTCCAATACAAAAGAAGATTGAAATGCAGTTCAGTGCCTGCAGGAACTTAGAGCCAATAATGGAAGCTGTTATTCATACTGAACCCTGGGACAATACTCAGTTTGTTACCTTCTTTGACACTCGGATACTCACATGTAAAATGGGCTTAGAAACAACCAAGGATAGTTAAAGATACAGTAATCAAAAGCCAAAATATATAAATGAGTTTACAACATCTAGACTTTTGTTAACACACTTCTGTTTCAAAATGTTTATAAAGTTATTCTTACACCTAGATTCTTACCCTCTTCTGGCATTGAAGGTAGCACGTCTTGCCTCTGCTCTTTCCCTCAGCAATGCTGGGTCCTGTACAAACAGATCCCTCTTTGGAACTTCCTCCTAGAAATCCAAACATCATTACATTTTTCTCTATTTTCCATATTGGCAGAATCTTATTTATATGAACAGAAACAGATCTTTGGTTGCTTGCTAGATAACTTTCATAAGCATCATTAGTTTTCAGACATGCTTCATATTGCTTTATTTAGATTAAATTTTATTGAAAAATGAATGACATTGATAGTTGGCTGACCAATCTGAGGTTACATTCGTAGTCAGCACAACACGCACACAGTCAAATATGATCATGATTTAGGACAGAGAAGTTTTAAAAATTCAAACCCTGTTTTATAAGTATTTTGGCAGGATACCACAATAAAGTTACTGGTCCAATATAGAAGTCCCCTACTCCATTAATAAGTATGGGATGGTAATAACAATGACTTATACTAGCAAAAGTGCTAAAGATATTGGGAGACTTTTTTAAAATTTAGAAATAGTAACAGAATACCAGTTACATTTTCCTCTCCACAAATGTTTCCTTCAAAAAATTGAAGTTATATGGCCCCTCCTGAGTGAACTACTAATTTAACAAAATGATTATGAATGATTAAAAATAAATGTAACAATAGTCAAAGTTCAAACAGCCTCATCCTTAAGATTAAAGTATTTTTCACAGATTGGGAGAGATTTAAATTGCATCATATTTTTGCTAAATTGACAAAATTGAAGCAAAGATAAATCTCCACATCAACATGATTGTAAATAAAAGTGGCTACTTTTGAATAAAAGTAACCTCAGAATTGTGTAATAAGGAACTTTTCTTTTTAAATTGTTGAACAAGAGGAACAAGCTAGATTTCAAGTAAAATTATTTTCAAACAAATATTTTAAATGAATATTCAGACTTTCAAAACATGAAAGTAGGTACTACAAACATGTAATTAGCAATCAATTGGAGTAATGAATGAAATATATCAAACTCTATGAGAGGCTTCCCAAATAAGCCATTGAATAGCTTATAGGAATGAAGGAATGATTGTGGAAGATGATTTCAGGTTTAGAAACAACCATTTCAAATTCATTATCAGTTGAAAGTGTGACCTGTAGCAATTTGAAACAGAATGTCATAAGCACTGAATAAATTCATTGGATTTTAAAAGAAATTGCACCTAGAACCATCCTTCTTTAGCAAAACATAAAACATGTTTCTGAAAAAAATTGCTGCTATTACTTGCATGTATTGGCTTCCATAAACGAGCCAAATCCCAATGAATTAGATGTCATTTCTAATTTGGATTACCTTTGGTGCTTCCTCTTCAGATTCGTCGTCATTTTCCTCCTCATCTTCTTTTTGTCTCAGGATTCGAGGGATTGTAAACGGTCTTGGAAAAACAAAATGAAATATGACATGTCTATAGCTGATACTTTTATTTGTGAAATTAGCATAGTAAATGGCAATTATCCTTAATGCACTTGTCCAGTTTTAAAAATCCCATCTAGAAGATGAAAAAACAACCAGCTATATTAATCTCATAAGAGCATGCCTAAGACCATAATATATAGGAACAGAAGTAGACCATTCAGCCCATTGACTCTGCCCCATCATTTAATTTACAAATGACTCAGCCTCAATAGACCTCTATGGTGAAGAATGCCACAGATTTACTACCCTCCTCATCTCTACCTTCAAAGGATGACACCTTATTCTGACATTATGCCCTCTGGTCCTAGACTCTCCTACATGGCAAACAATTTTTCCTCATCTATCCTGTCAAGTTCCTCAAGGAACTTGTATGTTTCAACAAGGTTGCCTCTCATTCTTCTATATTCCAATGAGTACAGGCCAAACTGTATTTTGTAACAAAGACCACATGACGGACGATCGATCAATAAATAAACAAATAAATACCTCTACTTATAACATAGTACTTCCATACCTGGTATCAGCCTAGTGAACTTTCCTTAGACTGATTTCGGTGTTAGTAGATTCTTGTACTCCATTTCTGCAAACTTGGCAATAATACATTCGCTCATCTCATCCAAGTCATCTATATCTGTTGTAAATAATTAATCCCTGTGGCATATTACCAATTACAGGTTGCCATCCTGAAATGTCAAACCTGCTACAACCCCCAACCCAACTCTGATTCTATTAGTTAGCCAATCATCTATCCATGCTCACACATAAATTCCAACATCATGGGCTCTTATTTTATTAAGTAGCCCAACTGTTGTACTTTATCAAATCCAATTATATTATATCCACTGTTTCCCCTTTAACCACCTTGCTTGTTACTTCCTCAAAAGAAACCTAATAAATTCCTCAACTTCAGGTGACAATATTAACTCTGCATTAATTTCCTTATACTGGAAATATGTAACCAGGAAAATTATAAAAAAGAAAGAAACATAATGCAACATTTGACTTTTTAAATAAAATTTGATTCAATCAAAACAGCTTAAGAGAAAATTATGTAGCATAATACTAACTATGTTCCACAACTCTGCTGCCAAATCACTTTCGACTGCTTAAACATGCACAAACTATATCTATCCAAAAATAGAACCTCCCATGATCTCACAACATCAAACTTTACACTCCTTGTTATAAACTTCTCAGTTTCTACCTAAAAATTCATTACACCTTTCAACAGTTATACTATCATAGGAACTCAAAACTCCTCATTCTGGCTGCACAAGTCTACTATGATCTCTATTGATTCCAAAACACCGTTAATATTTGCTGATCAAGATTGATGGCTTTTGCTGGAACTGTGTCGTATAAATCTAATAAAATTATCAAAGTGTCCAAATTTGTTTGTTGCTCAAAAAATTTGCATTCACAGCCTCTCTATCTGCTCTCAAAATCAAGCCCACTCGAATCTATGGTTACTATTCAATTTTCTTCCCAATACTCTTCATCCATGTTCTCTACAATAATTTGTTTCATAGACAAACATATACTTTACCACAAGTCCAAAATACCTAGGCTACCAAATCACAAGGCAAATACTAAACTCATATCACTGGATAATGCACTGATTATGATATATCATAGTGTACCCTTGATTTTTAAATGGCAGAAAATTGGCACAACTTATATCTCAGGCTAAAATATTACTATTCAAACATTGTAAGAAGTGAAATTATCTGGAGAAAAATAAATCCAATTACAGAGTTTTATAGCACAGGTACCAACTGACTGCTCATGCAGATGCCAGCTCACAAAATACTACCCACAGTGCCATTCTCCTGCCCATTTCCCCATAATCTTTTCCACATCCACAAGCTTTCACTCTCTCCAGTGCAGCATAGCAGCAGGGTGTACCATCTATAGGATGCACTACAGAAATTCACCAAGTTTCTTTAGACAGCATCTTCCAAACCCACAACTAAAACGGCCCAGACGAACAAGCACCACTTCGCAGGTTTCCTTCCAAGCCGCTCATCATGATTTGGAGCTATATTGTCATTCCTTCACTGTCATTGGGTTAAATCTCTCCCTACAGCATTGTGGGTCCACCTATACCAAATGGATTGCCGCAGTTCAAAGAAGGCAGCTCACCTTCATCTTCTCAAGGCCAACTAGGGGTTGGCCAATAAATGCTGGTTCAGCCAGTGATGCTCATACCCATGAATGAATTGAACAAAAGCCCATGCAGCCCAGGCAACATTCTGGTAAATCTTCTCTGCACCCCCTACAAAGCCATCACATCCTTCTTATAATGTGACAACCAGAACTGTACACAGCACTCCAGTTGTTCCAACAATACCCGTCCTTGTATTCTATGTCTTGGTTAATAAAAGCAAGAATCCCACATGCCTTCTTCACCCCCTCATCTATCTACACTGCTATCTTCAAGAATCTGAAGACATACATACCAAAAGACCCTCCGATCTTCTGTATTTTGCAAGGATCCTAGCATTTATAATATAATCCCTTGCTATGCTAGTCCTTTAAGTGCATTACCTTATACTTTTCCAGGTTGAATTCCATTTGCCATTGATCTGCCCACCCAAGCACTCCTTGGGCATCCTCCTGCAGTTTATAGTTATCCTCCTCACTATTTATCACACAGGTAATATTTATGGCATCTGCGAACCTTTATTTGCATCCCCGACATTTAATCATTTAGGCATAAAACAAAGACCTAGGGCCCCACTACCAATCCCTGCAGAATTCCACTAGAAACAGACTCCAGTCACAGAAACATGCCTGTACCATCACGTCTGCTTCCTGCCTCTCAGCAAATTTTTGACCCGACGTGCCACTTTGCTTTGCACCCCATAGGCTCTTTCTTGAACTATCTGCCATGACTAACCCAATCAAATGCCTTGCCAAAGTCCATGTCGATAACAGTGAAATCATTGCCATCATCAGCACTTCTAGTTACCACCTCAAAAAATTTGATCAAATTTGTCAAACACGACCTTCCCTTAACAAATCCATACCGATTATCCCCAATTAATTAATTTCTCTTCAATTGCAGATATGTTATGTCCCTCAGAATTCTTTACAATAACATCTTCATCACTGAGGTTAGACTGACTGGCCTGTAATTTCCTGTCCATCCTTTCCACCATTTTAAAAAAAATAATGCGACACAGTTAGCAGATCTCCAGCTCTCTTGCACCTCACCTATGGCCAGAAAGGATTTGAAAATTATAGCTAGGGCTCCTAATGACCCCTCCCTTACCTCTCTCAAGAACTTGGAAACTCTTTATTTGGGCCTGGTGATTTATCCACAGCTGCCAAAACCCATTAGTACCTTCTCTTTCACTATGTTAATTTCTTGTAATACTTCACAGACCTCCATCCGGATGTCCATACCCGCACCGTCCATTCTCATTGCAAAGACCGACACAAAGTTTTCATTAAGGACTGTTTCCATGTCTTCTGGATCCACACATACATTGCCTCTCTAGTCCCCATCTTTCTCCATAGTTTTTTTCCTGACACTTTATATATCTTTAAAAATCCTGTGTCTTTAAGGTTTTGGAGTAGATTTGTAGCTCGGGTTGTGGGTGTTGAGGTTGTTGAGGCTGATCGGCTCGGCGAGCCGGTTTCTTGTTTCGCAGACGTTTCGTTACCATGCTTGGTAACATCCTCAGTGCAGCCTCCGATGAAGCGTCGGTGTGTTTTCCCGCCTGGTTTATAAACTCTGGGGTCCGTTGAGATGGATTGCCTCACTTCCGGTTTTCCTTCGTAGCGGAATGTATATGGGGTCGATTTCAATGTGTTTATTAATAGCATGCTTCGTGGAGTGCCATGCTTCTAGGAATTCTCCTGCCTGTCTCTGCCTAGCCTGTCCCAAGATCCTGGCAGGATAGGCAGAGACAGGCATCAGAATTCCTAGAAGCATGACACTCCACGAAGCATGCTATTAATAAACACATTGAACTTGACCCCATATACATTCCGCAACGAAGGAAAACCGGAAGTGAGGCAATCCATCTCAACGGACCCCAGAGTTTAAAAACCAGGCGGGAAAACACACCGACGCTTCATCGGAGGCTGCACTGAGGATGTTACCAAGTATGGTAAACATTTCCAAGTATAATCTTTAAAAAAATCATAACAGTATGTTCTGTTAGGTGTATTTTACTTATAATATTTTTACCTATATGAAAAATCTGTGCGCTAAAATTAATGGCTGTCATTCCAGTCTCTGCATTTTGTAATAATTTATTCAATTGTGCTCATCCATTCATCCTACCTTCTACTGATTAGTTCATCATCTGAATCCACATCGTTTGCTCCGACTTGGTTGCCATCATAAGTATCATCATATTCATCATCATAGTCCCCTGCATAAAACTGGACTCCGTCTTCTACTGGTGCTTCCTCGACTACTACACTGTAGGCATTATATCTTTCCTTCTGCTGTGCAATGTGTGTTTTATCATCAAGCAGCATTGTTCCCTCTTTCCCTTTTCTGCAAAATAGAACACAAATATCATCCAGCACTATCTTCTCAAAGATCAGTGAATGTATTTTGGGTTTATTTCATAAATTCAGATTATTCAGTGACCAGTGTATACAAAAAAGGTGACTTCAAAGTTACACTAATCACATATTACTGTAATCAACACAAAGAACAAACCGTTTAGGAGCAGCCAGTCTGCCTATCGGCCTTTGTCAGCTTTTGACGAAAAGCTATTTAAATTAGTCCCATTCCCTTGATTTTCCCCTATTGCTTTGCACAATATTTGCCTTGAATTAGTTGTCGAGTTCCATTGAAGTTATTATTGAATCTGGCAACACATTCAACATAATAATATTCCACTATACAAATAAAACTCCTCATCTCTCTTCTAGTGCTTTTGCCAAATACCTCGGGTCTGTGCACTATGGTAACAAAGCATTCTGTCATTTGAAGCAGTTTCTCACTAATTTATCAAACCGATTTGAACACGTCTATCAAATTACTCTAAGTTAAGGGGATCAATTTTACCTTCTTTGTCTCTCCATATAACCGGAATGTTGAACCCTGGCACTATTCCAGTAAATCTCTTCTGCACCTCCCCCAAGGCCTTGATAGCCTTCCTCAAGCATGGTGTCTGAAATTGGACACAATACTCTTTCTGGGGCCTAACAATTGATATTTAAAGGAATATAGTAACTGCTGTTGAATTTTACATTTCTGTGCATGAAGCCTAGAATCTGATGATATGTTTTCCAGTAGTTTTCTCACCTTCAAAACTGTCACCTTCAAAAACTTGAGTACATATACCTTCTATTTCCTCACCAGCTGAGGTTATCCTGCAGGATTCTTCTTCTCAACCTCTCCCCTTGCCTGAGGCATCGTAATCTTCAGGTTGAACCAGTTGTCTCTTATGGTTTGGTAAGACTATGGCAACCATACATTTAATTTTTTCTGCACCCATAAAAATTGTGTGATTCAGTCTACATTACTTTTCCTCATTCCTTTTAAAAGGAATGAAGAACTTTGCTGTATTAAACTGTATCTGCCATGAGTCTTCCCAATGCACCAATCCACCAATCCAAGTCAGATACAACCTTCCACCGTTTCCAATTGTTGCAATTTTCATGTCAAGTGCAAACTTAGAAATTATGCTCGGTATTCTCTAATTCAGGCTATCATTTACACATCAAAAGCAGCAATGGTCCCAATACCAATGCTGGTGGTGGTGGTGATTTGAGGGGGGCGGGGGGGGGGGTGGAAATCACCTTTGTACAATATCCTTGGAAGCAACTGTTCACCATTACTTTCTGCCCCTTACTCAGTTTTGTATCCTCAATATTATTGCTCCTGTAATACTTTGAAAACTTCAATTTTGCTATCAAATCTATTATGTGAGACTTTAAGAAATGTCTTTTGAAATTCCTATACAATCAATTACACTACCTTCGTCAGCCTCTCTTTCTTCAAGAGGACTCAATCAAAACAGTTAAATATCCTATTTGCTTTTAATGAAACCATTCTGGCTGCCATCTATGAACCCTTATTTTCCAAGTGACAATTAATTTTGGCCCGAATCATTGTCTCAAAGTTTCTGCACCACCAATGTTAGTCAGATTGACCTGTAAAAGTCACATTTACACCTCTTCTCTTTTTTAAAACAGGGGCATATAGTTTGCAACCATTCAGTTCTCTGGCATTACTACATATCTCAAGAAAATTGAAAGGCTGTGGCTATAACATTTGCTATCTCCACTTATGATGTATCCTATCCAGAAATTCTTCTAGAACAAAAAGCAAGAATAAAATTCAAAGCCCAATAACAAAAGAATCAGAATTGACCCTTTGCTACTTGCAATGAACTTGAATGCATGTCAATTTGAATGCAAACTCCCTGGCAATATTAAGGATCCTAAATCAAATCAGTTTGTGCAGATTCAATATAGTTGATAGTGAGTGATTATGAGTTAACACCATAAAGCAGAAAAACTTCAAGTACAGCCACTGTAGGATGTTGAAATTACCATGTTTAAAACATGATAAATTTTTTTTGAAGATAGGATCAAAGAATACGACTAAGATAGAGTGAACGGTGGCTATTCAAGTTAGGTGCCAAAAACAGACAGACATTCAGAATGTTAAGTAATGTGTTTCCTATTAGAAGGGGAATAAGAACATGACACAGCAATAAATGGTACAGGATAATATCATGAAATCTCAGTTTTCAAAATCTGATTCAGAGCTATTTTCTCCTTCTTCGGGCTGATTCTTTAGGTTTTATTCTATTGATATAACAACCCTGGGAGGTTTTACCTTGTGATCATTCAACCAGTATAAATTTAAAACAGACAGCATTGAAAGGTTATTTGACATGGTACATTTTTACTTAATTATTGCGTTAATCATTTTACGTTAAGCCTGATCCTGTTTTTATCCAACATCTATACATCCATTTTCCAGCAGAGGTCAGTAGAATACCTTATAAAACAGGAACTCCGACTAACACCATCCTAAAGATATTAAAGCAAAGTGACAACTGCTGCCCTAATTGAGATCAATTAATGTGACTTGGAACAGGAATGAAGTCTAGAAGCCAATGGTCAGAAGGGTTTATTACTAGTCCTGGTAGTGCCACTTGAGCAGAGGATCCGAGTGATACAAAACATAGTATTGAGGGGACATGCAAACATTCACACACAAGCTGCAAAATTTAAAGAATAACTCTAAAAAAAAGTATAAAACACAGCTTAAAAATAGAAATTTTTTTAAAAATCCATTGTAAGATTGACAAAGGTTTATTCATTTAAGACAATATTTTGATCTTTTTAATTGCACATAAAGTGTTATTGATCTCAAATATTTCAGAATTGAAGACACTGGTAAATCTTCTACCTATTAGCTGCCTCAATTTGGACAGCCATAAATATGCCTGCACAACTTCATCAGCTGAGTAATTGCAGATGTAAATACACTTTCTTATCAAGAAGCTGAACAGCTGTTGAAATATTAATAAGCAATATCGCGCTAATTTCTAGCCTATATTCCAAAATATAACATAAATCGCTATACATCACTAAATATTTTTATTTGTGCTCAAGAATCTTAAAATACACCCAGCAGCAATAGCCTAGGAAGCTTAAAATTAAGCCATAAATATAGAGTTACAATGTTTGATTTTTAGGCTGAATTACTTAGATTTGTTAGTCTCAGCAGCATATTATCATTACTTTTAACTTGACTACAAAGTTATGGCATGCAGAGAAGAGGAAATTCTCCATAACCATGTTCCTCCTCTCAGGTTCCCAATAGTGATGCCCAGTGCTATGGCAGGTAGTTATTCAGTCCACTGCAGTCCAGACCCGATTGTTTCATTAGGAAGTAGTTACAGAAGCACTCAATAGAGAAATTAAAAATGCATTGTGTTATGTATTTAACCACTGAAACATTAGGGGTAATGCTATTTAATCTTTTGTGTCAATTTTGGGCTTATTTTAAGCTTATGAAATATTCAAGGGATTGCAATATAAAAGATTTGCATCTCATCTTGCCATGGAAGTACACGGAACTCTGAATCAACCATTATATATTAAGATAAATGACTTTAGCTTTTTTTTGGGAGTGTGTGCAGGTGATTTGCTTAAACGCAAAGCCACTTTAAATTGTTTGTGCAGTCATGAGAAATTAAAGTAGCCAATGCTCATTTGATCTGTGCTGGAACTTTCATGTTGTTCTACAGCTGTGAAGCTGAGAGGAAGACTGATTAGGATTTAATCCACAATTCCATAATAATCACAACTTTTAATTCAATAAAGTAGCAAACTCACTTCTTGCCTTTCCAGATTTTGGACATGTCCACAGAATTTTTGCTGAAAACATCAAACTCATCATGATCAAATACATTTTGTCGTGTTGACAGAATTGATTCTTGTTCTTTTTTCACCTGCCTGATAAAAACAAAAGTATACAAAATAGTTTGGCACTGCTATATAGAACATTACAACTACAATTTGTATTTAGAAGACTATTAAATTCCACAAGGCATCCTTTAAAAACGTAGTGCTAGCATATTTAGCAATTGAATCCGATATTCACTTTGAGAATAAAGACTTTAGCAAAATTACTAAACATCAAATGTTTGATAGTGGAGATCATTAGGGATAAAAATACAAAAACTAAATTTTAGAAATATAAGGACATGGTAAATTGTACAATCAATCTGGAATCAAAAGGTGTTCAAATGCCTCTATACGATATTGTGTCAAAGTGCAAAAAACCCAACAGCTTAAATCCTGTGGTCAGTGTGCTTTTGGGTATATGTTGTGCCCTTCATTACCATCCAATACCTTTTTAAGCTTTTAAAATATAAGCCAACTGCAAGGGTAACTGTTAAGTGCAAGTGCCTCATAAACATGTTTAATGACCTTCTCCGCATTAATTAAAAAATAGAAGTTATCTTGGGAAACATTTGTATTCGAAGAATTTCAGCCTTCAATTCAAAAGTATTGCGAGTACATACACTTGTTTACTTCCGTTTACAAACAGATCCGATGACATTTCAGCCATCCTGTAAACCTCAAAACAACTTAAAGAGCTGGGATGCAGAAGATGGAAACAGGAGATACAACTTACACCAGGATCTGTAGTTTATTTTCAGTGGACACACCAAAGCGGGAGCCCTAGTTTAAATGTTATAACAAAGTGATCCTGTCAAAATTTCATGAAAATATTTAGTATTAAAAGGCTTCATCTCTCATGTGTGCTGCTTACGGTGAAACACAAGATCTGTTGTTTTAAAACAAAAACAAATGGCATGCCAGATATACATCAAACTAGAGATGTACTGGTTGTGGTGACTGAATAAGTCAAATTATGTTGATTACTCAAGACCATGTAACAAAAACAAAATTGTGAGAAACTAGTAAATGGAAGGCCTTTATCTATTAACACATACACTCACAGACACTTATATATGATTATGCTGAATGTATTTAAATTTTTATCCATTACCATGTTGGAACCGTGAATGTAAACAATTGTGTGTCTCTCTCAGTTTGGACACATTAACATAAAAAAAAAGTTAATAGCTTTCACTCCATTCTCATTTAATTCTTACATCCAGCTGATATTTAAATACTTTTCACAAACTGAAATAGTATATAGACAAACGGCAACATTTCCAGCATAGATAGTATGGAATTGAGACAACTCGGTCACAACTATTTCTCAAATATATAAAAGAACTGCAGCTGGAGATATAAAACAAAAACAGAAACTGCCAGTGAAACTCAGCAGGTCAGGCAGCATCTGTGGGAGGAAAGCAGAGTTAACATTTCAAGTCTAGTCATCAGACTCAAAATATTAATTCTGGTTTTCCCCCACAGATGCTGCCAGAACTGCTGAGTTTCACCAGCAATTTCTATTTTTGTTTCGCAGCTATTTCTCACACTGATGCAAACCAAAAAAAAAAAATGCTCAATATAACCTTAACCAATGTTTATGAAAATTTGTGCTGGAGCTTTTCATGAAATAATAAAAAAAATAGAATGCTGAAAGTGTGTAACAAGTCCAACACAATAAGTACAATTTAAAAAACTGTACATACCTCTTTCAGTAAATATATCAAGCCCTTGGTCTATGGCTTCCTAACTCGAGTGGTGAATTGTTATTAATTTACATTTATCCAACTGAAAAAAGTATGACAGCTGAAGTACAATGAGAAGTAAATGCAACAACAAACATTGCACATTATTTGCAAAACATCCAATAAAATGATAAAAGAACTCTATGGATAAGGGGGTGGAATTTAGACACAATTGTGCTGGCCACATACAGCACATACATTCTGATATACCGTATTAGAGATGTCAAGTCAGAAAATGTAAATAATTAAAGTAAACTTTATTCTTGTGAATTTGACAGTTCAGGGTTCTAAAACAGAATCTAGATTCAGGTAGATAACTGCAACAAAGACAATTAAACATTATGTTGAACGCATTCAGACACCAGCTTAGACATTATGACTAAAGAATCTGGTTCCAGCTGAGAAATCAATCATGGACAATAGGTCAAGTATAGTTTCAGCTTGATAATTTGCAGTTAAGTGTAAACAAACAGAGGCAATTTGCAAACGAAACTTCAATTTAAAGGTATGCATCGTGATTTCTTACCTCTGAAGAGTTCTGTCTAATTTGCGAAGTGAAGGCGCTATTTTATCTTCAAGGATATCATTAATTACTTTTTCTGCATTGTAATTATATTCTTCCAGACATTCAAGAATGAAGCCTTCCCCAAGGTGTGATAGAATGTCCTTCACTTGAAAAATTAAAGACTCCAGCTCGACTCCTGTTATTTTGGCAGCTGTTGCACCTGCACACTATTTACAAAATCAGGAATAAATATATCTTTCTAATTTCAGTAAATAGTTTTAAATTAAAGGCTACTTTTTCATACTTTAACTGAATCTACTGTGACAGATATATTAATCCACCCCAAATTTAATTTCAAACTTAATTAAACTTCAAGGTTACAAAACGTATAAAAGGAATACGATATTAATAAAATTTTAGTCTGCATGCACTTCACATCATTTTTCCTCCGTTATAAATTCTCCAATACCCAGAGTTATAATTCAAAACAGCTGTGTAAACTGTTATGATGTCATTACATTCTCCTGTCTGTGGAAGCATTAGGCAATCAAGAACAACAAAATCATGAACAACAGAGAAAAAGAATAAAAACAAAATGCTGGAGAAACTCTTCATGTCTGACAGCATCTGAGGAGACAGAAATAGAGTTTACAGTCAAGTCCAATATGACTCTTCTTTGGAACATTCAGAATTTCTCAAATGAGTAAGGCTTATAAACTTCCAAATAATATTTTGTACTCTAATTTCAGAATTGTTCTCAAGTTTTGTTTTTGGTCAGTTCCTCAATTCAATTAATTTCAGAAGAGTATTTGTCTAAATATTTTTTTCTCTTTTAAGTCTTCTTTTTTCCCCTTTCATAGGATGTCAGCATTTGTTGCCCATCTCTAACTGCCCTTGAACTGAAGTGGGTTCCTAGGCTTTTTCAGAAGGCAGTTAAAGTCAAATCACATCATTGTGGGTCTGGAGGCACAAGTACACCATACCAATGGCAGACTTCCTTCAGGGAATTCAGTGAACCAGATAGGCTTTTTACAACAATTTATGACAGTTGTTAATTTATCTTGTGCTTCAAGCCAATAATGCTACCTGCACATTTAGATAGTGGTCTGGAGTATCTTGGGCTTTGTATATTTGCACATAAATAAATCACTGGGATGGTGTGTTTCTTTTCTCCAAGAGAGGCTCTTCCACTGCTGATGTACTGTAGCACTCCTTTATTTACAACTGTGCACTGCGCATTACTAAATACATCCCTCTATTTGACCACTCTCTTAACATGCTCATTCTAGTCTGATGTCTTCTCTTCTACTTATGCCTCATTCAGGTCATCAGTTATATCATCTCATTTACATATTTCTCATTATACCATTGTTGGCATAGCCACCCATTCCTGAGCCTAGATTTAAAGATTTAATTAACTGAATTTAAATTTCACCAGTTGACATGGTGGGATTTAAATGTGTATTCCCAGAAAATTAGTCTGGATCTCTGGATTGTTAGTCTAGCGATAATATCAGTATCTCCCCTTCTTGACAACAGACATGTAGACTTAGGAAAAACAAAGTATGCACATACAATGAGCAAAATTCAGAATTGCTTGCCCCAGACTTTTTAATGAACTATTGCTTTCACTCATTGCACATTCTGCTTCAGCTGAAAATCTGGGTCTCACCAGTCAAAATGTGTTGTAAACAGGTCGGAATAAACCTGCCAGGTAAATCTTTTCCTTTCCACTATGTTTACTTTCTTTTCTGAACCAATCCATGCATTCACCACCCACCTTAAAAGACATAGGGTGTACCAGTTTGAATAACTCTGATCCAGCATTGTAATCTGTTCGAAACACACAGGAAGAACATGTTCGCACAATATGGTAACTGTGACTCTCTCCAATTTAGTGGTGTTACTTAGAACAAAACTTTAAACTTTCTCCTGATGAACTGGTTAACCAATACAATTTGGTTCTTTTGAAACCAAGTTTCATGCATCAGAGGGGCTCCAGCGCAGAATCATAGAATTGTGACAACTCAGAAGCCCACAAGTATAGCCTATTCAACCAGCGTGATAATAAGAGTCCAAACATTATCTTGATCTCACCAAATATTCACATACATAATTTGTAATAATAGTCATTTAGACATCAATGCAGAAGGGAATATTTGCCAACTATCCCTTTCCTGAAACAGGGCCACACTGATGTCAATTTATCCTTGTTGGTAACCAAGACCAGTTTGAACTTGTTATCTTCCTAGTCTGTACCCATCATTGGGTAAATTTACAATTCTATCCTATTTAGTACTTACATAATCATCATTTTCATATTCTGGCTGTTTAAGCTCTTGCTCTGTTTCACCATTTACAGCTGAAATTTCATTGCTACAAGAGGCATGTTGAATGAGAGTATTTCCAGTGGCAAAGGTAGGCTTGTTCCTACCACTAGCTTCCCAGGCACTGTCAACAGCTTTGGTGATGTAAGATGTTCTAGTTTCATCACTATAGTTTAAGTTAAGATAAACACAAAACAAAACTGATGTACAATGATGCGCACCTTATACTTAAGCAAAGTAATAACAACCAAAATATGTAAAGAGTCAGTGCAGTCACATAATAGACTAAATGGTGTCCTTCTCACTATAACAATTCTGTGACTTCTTTGAATTCCGAAAGGTTAACAAAAGATTTTCATTGAGAAATAACTATTTTGTTCCAAACAATTTTTTAAGCAATCTTTACTCCTAAAAATTGCCCAAACTATTTTCTTCTAATTTGTTGTTAACTCTTATCACATTTTTAAATTCATTTTAGTTTAACAGGATTAAGTTTTCCATGTATGCCAATTCAATATTAGTTGTTTAAAAGACTGTGGTCCAAATAATTTCAAAGTCAACTCTTTCCAATAATAAATGAGTGCCACAAGTCCTTTAGAGCAGTGATATCACCTTGCTCTCCATTCCCATTACACAAGTGCTAACAAATACCACAGAAACTGTCATAACATTTCCTTGCTTTCTTCTAATGCAAGAGAATTGTAGCATTTTTCAGTTGATCATGGTCACATCATTGGACAGGCTTGAGAACAGAGGGACTCTAATGACTGCACTTCTTAATATGGAAGTTTAGGACATAGCAAAAAAAACAAAACAAAAAAAAAATCTATAGAACAAAGGTGCACAAGTTGGTTGAGTTTTGTTTGGGATAAATATTATCCTAACAAATGGTAGTCGTTCAATGTAGGTCCAACGTACAAGTCGTTGGGCTTGTCTTTCACCAGGTTTCTCTTCCTTTAAAATATTAGCT